CTACCTTAGAGGTTTCTTATTATTTCCTTAGAGGTATTTATTTTTCTACTAGTTATTAATATTTTTTTAAAGTTATTTACTACTTATAGTTAAGGTAACTTACTAAATAGAATTAATTAAAATATAATAGTAGCTTAAGTTCTAAGTTACAGTAAGTCTGTTTCTTAGGAAGTAAGTTAGGTTAAGCATTACTAAGTAATAATATAAGTAGTACAATAATAAAGCTGTTAAGAGTATAACTCTTAATAGTAAAACTATTGCTTAAATTAATTAATAGAGAACTAGACTATCTACTACAGCAGAATACCTCCTCCTTAAGTACTTGTCTACCTCTTTATTATAGACTAATAATCACCCTAATTATTTATCTATCTATTAATCCCTAACTCATAGCAATTAATAAGTAATCTAACAATCACTTAGCTTATAGTAATTAATAGGTAATTCATCGATTACTTCATAATCACGTAACCTAGCACGTAACGTCTTAGTTCTCCCCTGTTATAGCTGTGCCTTCCCTAGTGCGGCCTAGTTCTTCCCGCGTTTAGTGACGTTCGTAACATCTAGCTAGTATTCCTCTTTTAACCTTATTTATATATGCAAAGAAATATAAGCGTAAAGCATATTAAATCCTTGCATACAAAATGTATGCAAACGTTCCTTGTAGGCAATTTATGTATTATAGCTATTTCCCTTGTTTTTATAGGTGTTTTTTATAGTAGGCAGTATCTACTGCTAATATGCCTTTCTTATAGTAATTAAACCTTTTAGATAAGCTATCTATAGAATTAAGCTTACTAAGTTAATATTTAATAATAAAGTTAAATAAATATAGCTTATTTAAAGTAGTAACTTATCTACTAGTTAGCTTAAGCTTTAATACTAAGTATTTATAATTTAAGTAATTTATAATAATATAAATTAAATACTAAGAGTAAGCTAAGTAGTGCCTTTATATATAGAAAGCTTTCTATATAGCTAGTAGCTTTATATTAAGAGTTATATAGTATAGTTTAGAACTATTTAGCTTTCTAGAAAGGTAGACTATTAAGTGCTAGCAACCTAGCTATAATTATACTAGTATTATACTAATAGTAAAGTTAAATATATTTATCTTTATTCTTAGAAGTACCTCTAAGTTAAAATAAGCTAGAATTAAAGCTTTTTAAAATTACTACTTAAGTTTCTAGAAAGTAGTAATAATACTACTAAGTAGCTATAATTTCTTTATAGCTTTCTCTTTTATAAAATTAGTAAGTAGTACTATAATTTTACTATAATTCTTAATAAATTATTTATAAGATTTTATAAATTTAAGAAAGCTCTAAATATTTAAAATACTACTAAGTAGTAGCTACTTTATAATTACTTTAATATACTTTTCTTTTATTTTAATTTCTTAGTTAGTAATAATAAACTTAAGAAAAAATATAGTAGTTATAGAAAATTTATACTTTTAAAAGTTAGTATATAATTTAGCTACTTATAGTTTAGCTAAAACCTCTTTAATATATTATTTATATACTACTAAGTTACTACTATATATTAGTATATTATTAAGATAAATAATATAAATAAAGTTAACTAATTTACCTAAGAAATTATAAATATATTATTAAAAAGTAGCTAGTATATTAATTAGCTTAAAAAGTATTACTAAATACTTAAAATAGCTATATTTATAATAAAAAGCTGTTTTTTACTTATTACTTTTATAAATATATAGCTAGTAGTAAGTATTTTTAAAGTCTATTTTTATATAAATCTTTATACTTTTAAGTCTATTAAATATCTTTATTATTAAGAATAGTAGTACTTTATTTTTCTTTATAACTTAATTTAAGTCTTTATAATTTATATATAGCTAGAGCTTGCTCTCTTTCTTAAGTATAAAAAGAATTAAAGCGTTTATTAAGCTTATTAAATATTTTATTTAGCTATACTTAAAAGCACTTACTAAGTAGTTATAAAGAACTTATAGCTTCTTTTTAGCTAAGTTATAAATTAAGCTTTATAGTAAAGTCTTTTCTTCTTTTAGTTTAATAGTATATATTTAGCTAGTAAGAAGTAAAAAAGTTATAGCTACTTTAATATTAAATATATTAATATACTCTTAGTATATACTTAGTAGCTTAATTTTAGTAATATTACTACTTAGTATATCTTTATTTTAAGTTTATATTTATACTAAATTATTTATTTAGTTAATAATAACTATAACTATAGCTTTCTTTACTTTATAGTAAGCTTACTACTTTTCTATAAAGAGCTTTAAGTAGTTAAAAGTAATAAAGTATTTTTAGTATTTTTTCTTTTAACTTATTATAATAAGCTTATATTTATCTACTTAATTTTTTCCTAGAAAAATATTCTCTTTAGTATTTATAATATAGTAGTAAAGTTAGTAGAATTAAAAGTAATTTATACTATTAATAATACTTATAATTCTCTAAAAAATACTTTAGTAAAGTAGTTATATACTTTCTACTACTTTAAAGACTTTATTATTTAGTTTTATATACTACTAATTTATTATAAATAGTAACTTAAAAGAAATAAATATATACTTTATATTTATATTAAATAGTATATTTATAGCTACTTAATAGTATACTTATTATATAAGTATTTTTATCTTTATTTAAGAGTTATTATATTTTCTATTAATAGTAACTTTAAGTTTCTAAGTATAAACTTTATAAACTAAAGTAGTATTACTATTAATTACTAGTAAGTTACTACTAGCTTAATACTTATTTATAGTATACTAATTACTTTAATAAGTACTATAATTTAGCTTAAAGTATTTTAATATAATATAACTTAGTATATTATATTTATAATAAATAATATTATTAAAATATAAAGTATTTCTACTAGTTTTATAACTCTTAGTATTATTACTATTAGCTTACTATTTACTAGTATTTTTATTCTCTTTAAATAAAAGTTTATACTAATTTCTTTTCTTTATATAGTAGTTATAGCTATTACTACTAAAGATATTATAATAGCTTTCTAGCTTAAAAATAGCAACTTTAGCTTTTTTTTCTTAGCCTTCTAAGTAGCTTTAATTTCTAGAGAACTTCTAGCTAAGTAGCTGCTTTTTTATAGTAAGTTAAAAGCTATTTATAAATATATAAATAGTAAGCCTTTTTAGTAGCTTATCTAAAAGTTTAGCTTTATACTTACTTTATACTTTTTTAAATACTTAAAATAATTAGCTTTAGCTTTAGTAAAAACTTATTAGTATTTATATAGCTTCTAAGTAGTATATATTTTTATTTATAGTTCTAAATTTAAGCTATTTTATAAATCTAGTTTAAGTATACTTCTAGAAATTAATAAAGCTATTATTAACTATATAGTATATTTATTATTACTTTATATTATTAGTAAAGTAGCTATTAGTATAAACTACTTTATTAATATTAGTAATCAAGTAAAAGTAGTTTATAGTAAAAGCTATATATAAATCTACTAAATAAGTTTAAAGACTTTTATATAATTTACCTTTATAAATTAGTATTTAAATTTATACTTTTATTATACTAAAGTATAGCTAGTAAGTAGTATAATTAAAGCTTATAAAAGCTAGCTAGAATAATTAAGTATTTTTATTAATATCTTTTTATTTAGCTTAGTTAAGCTTCTTTATTATTTTTATAAGCTAGTTATACTTCTAAGTAATATATAGCTTCTTTATAGTATACTTAAAGCTATTATTTAGTATAGCTTTTTTATTACTTTATATTTTATTTATAGTAGTAAAGTTTATAGTAAAAGTTAGTAGTTTTTTCTTAATAAATAAAGCTCTTAAAGAAAGTATAGTAAAGTTACTATTAGTTTCTATTTTAAGTATAAAGTTTAATTAAGTTAAATATATTATATAAAGTATTTCTATTAATTTAAATAAATAGTTTACTACTTTATAAAGAAGAAAAATTAAGTTATTAAAATTAGAGTTTTTAGTAAAATAAATAAAAAGAATTATATAAAGTACTTACTATAACTTTATAAATAGCTAGATTAGTAAGAATAACTATATTAATCTCTAAACCTTTTCTTCTTAGCATAAACTCCCCCTTCTTTATATATATATAGTTGCTAGCTGCTACCTTATAGCTAATTTAGTAGCTGCTGCACTAGTGTATTAAAGTAAATTAAAGTTAAACGCGCTCTACATGCCCTTAATTACTCGGACGGGCGTTAGGTCTCTAACACTCTTGTACCACTAACCGTCGTGTAACAGTGCGACACAGTAGATTAGTTCGAGATTCTTTGTTTTCGGTGGGTGTAAATTTTATGTAAGCTCTTTTATCTGATAATCATCAAATTCTTTCACATGTCTCCTAATTGCCGTCGCAAATTTAATTACCACCTCCACGGTTGCTATATCTAGGTTTGTTAGTTAATACTTTTTCGGTCTGGCATAGACAAGGATAGCAGCTGGCTATTCACCTCCGAGCGAGCCCCTTACCGCAGCCACTTGCCACTTGAAAGACAGGGACTTTTAGATATAGTAACCTCCAATGTTTGACTCTTGTATCGTGTAATAGGACTAAGAATTAATTTGGCAAACCCGGCCCTTACTGGTCCGTGACGTAATCCGCGGGGAGAAACCCAAGTTCTGATAGGATAGTTGTCTTCCTCCTCTGACCCACTTTGCAATGCAGCTCCCTTGGAGATTGCGCAAGCTAGGACGCTTGAACATGGTTTCATCCCGCATCTTGGGAGCTGTGAGACACAAACAAGAGACCAGAGCCTCTTCACGGAAAGTTGCAATCATCGGGCAACGCGGTGCCGGTCCTTTGCGACCCTGACCTGCACGTGGCTCATACAGTCTGCCGCCGTTCCCAACGCTCGACTACGTACCGTGGTTCGATCCGCGTCTCGACCAGGTGATGCCATTTTCGTGGCCGAGTTTCCTTTGGCCCCATCCGGGCAAATTGGGATATTCCCAGGGCCAGTGTCCTTAAATCTTGAAAACCATCGCGGCAATGGTGGTCGTTGAGCTCGGCCTAACGGTAGCGCAACCATCTCCAAAACATCACTTCGAGTGACCGTGGTATCTGGCTAACCCAACCTTGGACCGTGTAGGCCGCGGCGGCATCCAGTCGATTGGTCCCCTCTATCCCGCTGCGTTCTACCCGCCTCATTTCCTCGCCAACGGTCCTGTCTCGAGCTTCGGTGCGTCCCTGTCGGCGAATGAGGCCGGTGCAGCCAAGATGGTATTCAGATTCAACGACCGAGTCGCCCGCTTCCTCCGCCAGCACGAAATCGACACCTTCAACGCAATCGAGCGCAACCAGTCCTAGTCTACCAAAGAAGAAGGAGTCTGCCGGGGGTAGATTCAACCTCTACGGCGATGATTGGGAGGACTCCGTCGACTTTGCAATCAAGTCCTTCGAGGATCTTCCCCACCGGTTATTCGGTGTCAACCAGCACATGATCATCAATTACGAACTCAAAGAAGCATTACGGATAATGCTACGGCAATTCAACGCCCCCATTGTGTACTGTTTTGCGTATGGGTCTGGCGTCTTCTCCCAAGAAGACATCAGCCGCAGCATTACCGAGGCAGAGTTTCGAGCCGTCCACCCAAAGCCACCGGAGGCATTAGTCAAGGCACAGAAGGGGTCGCCAAAGATGGTTGACTTCATCTTTGGCGTCAGCCATACCCAGCACTGGCACTCAATAAATATCCGACAACACCGCGGCCACTACTCGGGAATTGCCTCCCTCGGGTCCGGTCTGGTGTCGAGAGTTCAAAACTGGGGCGCAGGCGTATACTTTAACCCATATGTTGAAGTAAACGGTATGTTGATCAAGTACGGCGTTACCAGCATAGACAATCTGGTCAAGGACCTGTCAACTTGGGACAACCTGTACCTCGCAGGCCGGCTGCAAAAGCCGGTCAAGATCCTCCGCGACCACCCCCAGGTCCGGCTCGCCAACCAGCACAACTTGATAGCTGCGGTCCGCACCGCCCTGCTTATTCTTCCTCCCCAGTTCACTGAAACCGACCTCTATAGCACCATTGCTGGTCTGAGCTACATGGGCGACCCACGCATGGCCTTGCCCACCGAGAACAAGAGCAAGGTCGCCAACATCGTCAACAATAACGTCGTACACTTCCGGCGGCTCTACGCGCCACTCATCAAAACTCTTCCCAACGTAGACTTCACAGCTGCCTGCCGCCTAGATGACGAGGACTGGGTGCTAGACCCCACGGCGGACAGCGTACTCCAGCAAGACATGGACCCCGTCAAGCGAGGGAACATGGTCCGCCGGCTGCCCAAGAACTTCCGAGCAAGGCTGTACTTCCAGTATCAGAAGAAGTTCTCCATTCCTCGCGATGAGTACATTCAGATGATGGCCGCGACGGCCGATGATGAAAGCACATCCATCAAGCGCCGACGCGGTGGCGAGTTCGAAAAGCGCATTGTATCCGACGACCCCCAGGAGCTCCGCCAAATCGTAAGTCGAGTGATCAAACAAACCGTCAACTGGCCCAGCACCACACAATCCATGAAGGGCGTCATCATGGGTGGGTGGTCCAAGACATGGCGTTATTTGGGAGAGAAGTTTTCCAAATGGAGAAAGGGAAAGGCCCAACAAAAGGAATCCGTAAAGCGAGCGGGCGGGCGCGACAACGAAAAAGATGGAAAAGGAGGGTAGCAAAAGACAGGATGGCAGCGTCATGTCAGCATTACAACTTTTTTTTTCCCTTTGTGGCATGGGATTCATGTGCATTACCGCGGCATGGCCGCATAGACGGGCGGTACGTGTGCGATTCCTACGGAGTTGGGGTCAATACGGGCGCTACTAGTTCTTTCAGGCAGACGTGGAAGACGATAGACTTGAGCAGTGTGCGTGATAGACTGCTCAGCCCATGCCGAGCCTCTGCTCAGAGGCTGCCGTGGTTCATGGACGAAGCTGACGACGCATTCTGTTGACTGTTTTCGCGGCCTCTGCAATGTACTCGCGTCACTGGTGATTGTCGCTGCTGTCTTTCATGCTGGGCTTCCATTTCATACGGAGACTGCTCTTCCCGGTCGATGTCACCTCTTTGCCCAACTCATGCATGAACAAGTTCGTTTGCCGTATACAAAGACGTGGAGCGCAGTATTGCATGCGGCCCAGTCCACCACCAGCATAGAAATATCCTACACCGCAAAGCTTACATCCGGGTTCGGCATCACCCCGTGCCATTGACCGCCCGGACATACGAGACGAAGAAAACGGCGTACGTAGCAGAATAGTAACAAGAAGCTGGATTGATATCGAAGAAAAAAGAAAAGTCATTCCGCCATGATGAAGCACCGCTACACTTTTTTCAAATTACACATTGCTCACTTGCCCACATTCTGCCATGTACAAATCTCACGGTCCGCCAGCCCACTCCGTTTCATCTGCCTTCGTATTTTCCGCTTACGAGCTTCCGAGTCACAGGGACATCCAGCCATGTCTGACTAGTTGCCGACCCCGTGTCTGCGAAAGGATCATCGTCGGCGAGCTCCTTGCCCTTGCCCTTGTCTGCGAGCCTTGACCCCGATATGCCGCTGCCAAACGACGCACCCCCCGCTGCCGTGTACTCCCACCGGGCTTCTACGTGCCCCGGGGTCGGGCAGATGCCGTCTGCTCCGACAACCCGGCACACAATCTTTTGCAAGTCCCCAGTCAAAGTAACGTCACCCAGTCTCCAGTACACCAGGTGCTTATCCTTGAGGTGTGTGCCACTGGGTTTAGTTTGAGCAGCCGTAGCTTTGCCCTCATATCTGGCCACAAAGACGACATTATGCAGCGTGATTGGCGTGGTGAAGTAGCTCGTTGGGTTGAGCTGATACTGCAGCAACAAACCCAACTTATCCTCTTGCGGCTTCCACACTGGCGTCAGCAGCAATGGGCAATGCTTCCCTAGGCCCGATAAGCCAGAGTCGTCAGAAAAGACCTTGTATGAGAACGCAATAGATGTCTTGGCAAGGTGCGAAAGATCGAGAGCAAATTGGTCCGGCTGATCTAGTGAAGCATTTTGAACAAAGATGCGGTTTGGCCCGATGCGTTCAAGTCTGGGGAAGTTGTTTAATCGAATAGTTTCATGAGCTGTGCCTAGTTAGCTGGCTTATCCGGCGTAGTCAGGGGAGTGGAAAGCAACACACTCTTTTCAGAGGAAATATCGGCATTATTATTGACAAACGCTAGCTCACCAGTAACGCTAGCACTCTTCACGACGCCGCCCTCGAAAATAGCAGAAACAGTTTCTATTATAGAGCTCTGGAGGCCCGGTCCAGTAAGCTCTGGATGCTTGGCATGAACCAAGCTGCCCAAAGAATGTCCAGAACGAATAGATTGGCTGTCTGAAGTGCCAGCGATACTGGATTCTGAAGCCAAAGCGGTCACAGCGTGAGATCGCATAAACGATGCGCTGCCTGGTAACGGCGGAGAAGCGGAAATTGTAGGCAGAAAAGACTCGGCCTGAGTTGCTCCGGGAGGCGGTACAAATACAGTGTTTCTAACATCTCGTCGCCCTCGTATGGTGCTAGTCCTCCGAGTCGCTGGCCCCAACTTCAGTGTATTCGCAACGCTTGACAGGGCCGCCTTTTTGGCCTCGGGGTCTTCCTCGTCGATGGGTTTGTTTTGGATATTCAACTTAAATAGCTGATCGGCCTCTTCGCCAGCTGCTTCTCTCTGAGCTTCAGAAATGGGATCGTTCATCGGCTCTCGGACAGTGAAGCCCTCTTCGTCCTTGGTCAGGACGCCAGTCTTCTCGATATGCCGAGTCGGGGGTGATCCGGGAAGTGGAGGCACATCAAAACTGCCACTTGACTTTGTTCCATTCACACCTGTAGCTTTTGGTCTGTCCTTTGGGTGTACGCCGTTGGTAGCTTCATGTGGCCGGTTTCGATCGTTAACGGATCCGTCATGGGTCGATGCCGTAGGGGTATCTGGGGTTTCAGCTAGAGAGGCTAGACGACCTGACTCGTGCAGGTTGGTTGAAGATGTGCGAGGAGAGACACCCCGTCCGTGGCTGCTCCCAAGACGACCAAATGTGATGCCGCCAGGTTTGCCAGGTGACAGGCCCCCAAAGCCACCGTGAACACTTTGTCGACGTCGCCCACCAAACAAGGTTCCTAGTCTACGAAGTTTCGATTCTTTCAAAAATGGTCAGTACATGGGCGAAATCAATAGCCAGCATACCAAATGCGTGAAGTACCTTTGGGCTGGTCTGCGGGGAGCTGCTCAACGACGTCACCCTCGTGATGAGATTGCTGTGAAATAGACCCCCTAGTTGGAGGAGGGTTGATTGCTGCTGATACTAGGGAGTTCATCGTGTCGGAATGTGGTACGGGAGGAGGCTGTTCCAGGGAAGGCTGCCGTCCGACCATTGAGGAACGACGGGTAGATGTCCTCGTTGGGGCAGGAAGCCTGCCGGCGACTGTGCATGCCACAAAATCTTTGATTTCCTTTTCTGTATTAATCTCCAACACAACGGCAAGTGTCTGGGCGGCAATGTCTTGAAGCCTCTGAGCTTGGTCTGTCTCGTGAGTTTGATACTGGGTTAGGACATCTCGGAGATGGTTCACGCGGGTTTCGTCGACGGCCTGTAAAGACTCAAATATAAACGGCGCTTGGGATTCCCATTGCTGCACAGCTGATTCCAGCTTTGCCGAAGCCTCATCCACCTTGAGGCTGCTGGCCTTGGCGCCCTTCTTATTTATCTTATCCGCCTTGTCTTGGGCACCTTCGAGGTCTCTTGCCATTGTCGTCAAGTTGCTAGAAATGTTGTACATATTCTGGTAGTCTCGTCGCTGCTGGTACAAGCGCAATGGGTGCTCGACATCGCTCTCAAGCCTTTCGGCGAAGACGTGGTGTGACTGGGCAATGCGCTCAATGGCATCGGCAATTCGGGTCCAGGGGACTCGAAAGACACTGAACAGAGCTGGGTTAGCAGTGTAAGGCAGGCTTTGAGAGGGTGTCGCGATCGCGACAGGGCGAGGTGCTAGGGCAGGGTCCGCTGTTGTGGCCAGCGAGAAAAGGCGATGACATACCCGAGCTCGGATTGTGAATTTGGGGTTCTGCTCTGTGCGAGCCTTCGCAGGCCTATGACATATTGCTCTTCGACTCGACGGCGTTCCTAGTTGACGGGCAGCGGGTGGGAAATGTTAGCCAGGTAAAGCATCAAAGCATCGGCAAGGCGCATGCCGGAGACGATAAACTCCAGGCTAGTCGGACGAAGCTGTTGGACCTGGACGTTGGTGTGTCATCGTTTGTGCGTACCTGGAGCCAGTCGGCAATTTCGAGATTGAGCTTGTTGATGCGCTTGACCCGATCGTTGAATGTCTGAACCGCCTGGCCAGGCTGTAGGTTGGCCTGACGGACCCGGACAAAATAGCAGCAGTCAGCATTTTGAGGGAGACTCAATTGCCCAGTGTCCAGAGTAGAAAGTTTGTACGTAGGCACAAGGGCAAGAAGTGCAGTACTCACCAGCATGGCGGGATAGTCGGACCTCGCCAAGTCCTCCATGGTGGGCGGCGGTGTAGTCGGTGTTGATGGAACAATTCAAGACGAGGGCAAAACACAGATGCTAACGATAAGACGAGGGCAACGAGGGGAGCGGGTGCATGGCGGCACGTGGAGGGAGATGGAGTGGCTCGTCAGCAATTACCAAACGACGAGGCAATGATGAGATGAGGTTGGTGATGATATGGACGCGGACATGGACGACATGGACCATGGACACGGGCACGGATGCTCCGTACAGTCATGGGGAAATTTGAATGGCGCACCAAGACTGGGGAATGTACCAGCGGCTGGCTCGACCAAACAGGAAGTCGGTCGACGCGCGGCTGGGGTGTCTTGAGTCTTGACTCAACCAGCTGGCAGTTGCTGCATAACGGCAGGGGTTTGTCATTCATGAATCAATCAATTTGCATTGACGGAGTAATTGCTCTCAATCAGGCTGGAGGGTGCAAGAATAGCAGCGTCCCATCCAATCGAAGATTGCCTTTGGCGCAGTCGGGCTTTTGGAGTAGCTTTGGGCCGTGGAAGCGCGTTTGATGAGAGACTCTGTACGGAGCGCTCGGCACGGAGGACTTCCTACGAGGTCGAAACATTTAGTCATGTGTGCATCGTGCAGCGCGTACCTCTTTCCTCTCGTCTCTTTTTTTCCCCGGTCTCTTACACTAGGTTCCGTCCTCCCGTCTGCCACAAAGTCTCGTCTTCTTGCTGTTGTCTCTATTCCAGCCACACCATTCCCATCCCCATTCCCCTTCACTGACTGACTGACACTCACGGATCGTTCTCTTGGCCTTTTACCCGCCGCCCCACTTTTCCATTTGGCTGCTGCTTGGTTGAGCTTTGCAGTTGACAGCTTACCCTGTACATTGCCCCCATGTCCGTCAAAAAATTCTTGATGATGATTTTTCATTTTACACATGATGTACGGAGTATGTAGTCCGGCTTTAGATCAATTAGTACTGTGTGTACCTATGTATGTGCATTGCGGGGGACATTCACCCAAGAAGCAAAGCAGTCCTTGCCGATAGGCGGGTATGTGATGTCAAGCTCCACACCGTTAACTGTTTGATGCTCGACGTCGGGTGACAACGTCGAGTCCTTTTTCGCATTCATGGCCACCATGTACAAGCCTTGCGCTCCAGCATGGTAGACTGGAAATCTTCACTCTCGGCTCTTGACCGATACGAAACAATAAGGAGCCTGTAAGTATAGCTGGTGCAATTGTTCTCTAGGCCGCTCACTTATTTTTCTTTTTCTCTTTCTTTGCCCTGCCTTCATAGCCAGGAGACATTACCGCCTGATAAATTCAGCGACGTCATCGCCATCGAGCAAGATGCCTATCAATACTCATCCTCGAGGGTACTGTTCTACGGTGTTTCCGTCTCATATCGCCATGGCTGACGATTTCAGGATGAATACAATGCAATGGTCAAAGCAGCCTCTCGCAATCCCGCAGATACTGACCCGCCAGCCTCAGAAACAGGCATCCGTATCGGCAAATACAATAATTGCACCCTCATTGCAGATGGGGTCACGTCTGAAGTATATCGGTCGGACAAACATGTCCTGAAAGTTATTGTCCAGCACAATATCGAGCCGCATGACCCAAAGAGAGAAGCGGCGATTCTCCAAGAACTCCATTCTCTAATCCCTTCAGCCGAACAGATCATCAACCTTACAGAGACATTTCGGGACCGTGAGCAACGCTTTGTTCTAGTTTTCCCTTACATTCCCATGACGCTAGGTCATGTCATCTCTTCCGGGTCGATACCACTTCATCACACAAGGTCCATATTTAGGGATATTATCAGCGGGCTAGCATTCATACACAGACATGCCATTATCCACAGAGATATCAAGCCCTCAGCCATACTCTTACAGTCCCCTTCTGGACCATCATGTATATCTGATTTTGGGACTGCCTGGCATCCCCGACTATCTAGCTATACCGAACCACAAGATGACAAGATCCTCGACATTGGGACGGGAGCGTATCGCGCTCCAGAGGTACTGTTCGGGAATAAGGGCTACGGCACGTCCGTCGATATGTGGGCCTTGGGCGTCATGCTTGCAGAGGTTGTTTCGACGCCGCCGGTACCGCCATTTGAATCGCGTCCTGCGCACGAAGACGGGAATCAGCTCGGTCTTATACTGAGCATTTTCAAGACAATGGGCACTCCGACGCCAGACACGTGGCCAGAAGCAAAAGGGTTCAAGGTCACACCGTTTGAGCTTTGGACCGTATTTCCACAACGTGACTGGGCTGATATTTTGCCTGCAGTGGATGGGGAGTTTAGAGACCTTGTGAGCAGGCTGGTGTGCTTTGAGTCCAGCAGGAGAGATGGCGCCGAGGAGGTAAGTGATACATCCTGAGCAAATGGGGACGATGTGTCTGTCTCCTGTGGCCAACTCTGAACTTGTGGCTAACTCTGAACTACTGAGCCAGGCTCTGAAGCATGTGTGTCTCACGACGAAGTAATGGCTGCCCACATGTGCAAGCTCGTCGCATGGGAGCGCAGTTGCGTCGCAGGGTTCGATTCCATAGTCAATCTGTACCTTGGGATATAAGCATGACCTATCTGCCCGGGACCGGCAAAAGCCAAAATGTAGACGAAAACAAAAGAGATTTGGTCTTGGCAGGTGTACGAGAGTCAACATTGATTAGCACTGGATAGTATAAACATTGGCAAGCCATCGTTGCAGATTTAAGTTCTGAGAGGACTGCGGGTCGATTCATGGCTTCAAAGTTCACGCGCGAGGAGACCTTTGGGGCCCCACACCACAGTATTATTTTTTTGCGTTCAATGTCCTCTCTTCGGCATGACTAACTTGACAAGTTCTGCAACCCCTCCGCCGGGCCGCCGCCCCCAGACTTGAGCTATGCGCACCAGACTTTGACGGCAAGCCATCGTGGGCCACCAGCGGATGACAAGAAGTGTCGAGCAGCCCCAAGCCGTATATATCCTCCACGCCCGCACCTGGCAACCCCTCATGTCCCATCAATTCGCATCGCCGGAAAACCTCCGTCCTTGACTCGGGGCTTCTCTCGTCATGAAGCGCGGGCAGCGGGGCTTCGCTTCGTCGACTGGCGGGGCTGGCTTTGGCTTCGGAGCTCCTGCGTCTGGGACTTCTTTATCATATCTTACCGAACCGCCATCCTTCACGGCCGTGTCGGACCCCAACGTCATTGTGTCATTGAAGAATGTCCTCAAGAAGGACAGCATTACCAAAGCCAAAGGCTTGGAGGATCTTATTCAACATGCGCAATCGCATTCATTTGACGATCACGGTGGCGTTGAAGAAGCCTTGCTCGACATCTGGGTGTGTCCGAATCCTGTCAAAAGCCCAATTATTCAATGCAACAAAGCTGCCCCGATCACAGACAGACTGGAGAGGATTCACATTGCTGACATTTAAACCAAAGACCCAGATCTACCCTCGCATTTCCGTAGACAACTCCAGGCGCGTGCGAGAACTATCCCATACCCTGCAGTCAGAGCTTTTGCGTTCGGCCCGCAAGCGCATGGAACGCCATGTGCCAAAGATTGTTGGACCCTGGCTTGCAGGACTCTACGATCGCGATCGAATGGTAGTGAGGGCTGCTCACGACGGACTTTCATCATTTCTAACCACACCAGACAGGCTGAGAGCCTTCTGGGTCAAATGCCACCCGCAGATTCTAGAGTTTGCCATCCAAGCTATTCGAGAAACCCAAGCGACCCTCAGCGACGAGCGGTCCACGACGGCCGAGGATGCCGAGGCCAAATACTTTAGGGTCGTGACGTCAAGCCTGTCCTTGGTCTTGGGCTTGCTTCAAACCCTTGACGATGCCGGCCTGCAAAAGTTTGCAGACAAATACGACGAGTATTTCAGCGAAGAGTCTGTCTGGAAGAGCATTACCTTCAAAGACTCGGCAGTTAGAAGATCTGTCTGTCAGTTGCTGTTTGCCTGTCTGGATCGTCAGCTTCCCTACGGCGCGACGGCCAAGGCGAAACAGGCGTTTGTCACCGGAGGGTTAAGAACCAGCCAGGCAGGGTCAGCGCTCGAATATGTCAGAGCCTTGACAAAACTGACACAGAGCGATTCTTCTTTTTGGATATCAGGCCCAACGGATAAAAAGCCACCCATTGTGCGCCTGCAATCTTTCATTTCCAAAGGCTCACAAGGTAGCCCGCCAAGCTTCTGGGAGGCTCTCGACCAACTTATTGCCCATATTCCCGTGGATGCCCTTGGACTCGAGGCTACGTCTAAATTGTTGGCGTCGGTTAAGGCTGGAATCACAAATCGGGAGGAACCTCGAACAAACTCATCGTACTCATGGAAGTGTTTTGCCGACGTGGCCAAGCGATCCATTGAACGACTGCATGGCGGCGCTAAACTATCATTTGCGCAAGAACATTTGTTCCCTCTCTTTGAGAAATTTCTATTTTCGACTTCTGAAACCAACGCGATACCTACTGGCCCGAATGCCATGTCTGTACTCGTGGAACTTCATCTGGAGCTGATTCAGTCATCTTCTGACCTCATTGATGCTTCGGCTCAAGAATGGGAACGGCTGGGCAGCGTCTTCTGTACCAACATTTCGGGCTCCCTACCAGAAGTGTCAAAGGAATACAAGGCTTCTCAAACGAACATCGGAGAACAAGGACGGCGTTGGTTCGGTCTTGTTGGTGAGATATCTGACCATTTGAAAGGTCACAAGACCACCCTGCCTGACCAGACTACTGGTCCCTCCAACCGAGTGATTTCGCAGTGCTGTACATTGCTAGAGAGCCGCAATATGAAGCCTTTTGGTGCAGCACAAATAATAGAGTACGCACTAAGCACATCGAAGCATCTGTTCTCTGGCGACAATGGACGGAACCTGGGCGCATTTTTCCTCGCAGTGGCGGAAGATGGACTGTGCAAGATAATCGAAGCTGCCTCGGCGAGATACCTACTATCCGCCCTTGGTATATTCGGTTCAATAGAAGGCCAAGCAAAGACGTATGAAACAATCTGGCGAGCATGGGTGGCTGGGATTTTGAACACCAGCACCAGCCGGCAAGCACGAAATACCGCCCTTGCAGGCCTGGTTACCCAAGAAAAGGCTTCCTTCTTGGCTCAAGAAAATGTGGCTCTGCAAGATACATTTTACACCCAGCTTTTAGAAGCCCTTGATGGAGAATCGAACACGTTTGATTTGCTCGATGCGGCTTGTGTACATCAGGCGCTGAGCGATGATGCGGGCCGAAAGATAGTAGCAGAGCTGGTGAACCGGTTGTCAAAGCAGACATCCCAGCTGGACCTTATTCTCCGTCTACTTGAAACTATTGCAAAGTCCAAGGCACAGCTGTTTACCGAAGAGCAGATCCACACCGTGCTTGTTTCTCAGCTACTTGCATTGTCGGAGATAAGCGACTCGGACGTGTCTCCCAAAGTCGCCGCAGTCCGTTCTCTCGTGGACGGACAAGCCCAGGGCAAATTGCACGTCGTGAATATCATCCAGTCCAGTCTCGAAAGAGCTGGACCTCAATCCTTGGGGTATGTCACTGGTCACGACCCATTACCGTCACCCTTTGATGGTTGCTGACGGTGCCTACAGTATCCGAACCATAGTGTCACAGGCAAAGACTGCAGTGCAAAGCAAAGCCGCTTCCTGGGAAGGCATATTACCCAGCACCAATATCTGGATGGGTCACTTGGTACCATTGTTAGATGCGCCCATTAACCCGTCCTTGTCGATTACAAGCAGCATTGGCGAGATGCTTTGTTTGCCCCCGCCAGGGAGTCCTCCAAGCGCGGCTCTGCATTTGCCTCGCGACCGCGATGGCCGATGTGTTCCCGCCCGAATGGCCCTGTACACTTGTGAACTGATCAAGAATGATTTCGACCATCTTGAAATTCCCATACAGTTTCAAATTGAACTTTTGTACCTCCTGGGTCTCACAGCTCAGATTGCTTCTGATCAAATCACAATGATGAGTCGCAATGGCTTGTGGCTGTCCCTTGATTCGACAATCACACTTTCTGAAGCTGAGGAAATGATTTCGTCATCACGGCATTTGGCCCAGGCAATTGTCACCAAGTCGAATGAGCGAATACAACCAGCCACTGGCTCCTGTAGTAGCTCGTCCTCTATCATCCACGGGCTGATTGACCTCGTAATGAAAGAATCACGAGCATTTTCCTCCCGGGGTGTTCACAGCGCGAGAGTACTGAGCGAGCTCGTTCAGGCACTCAGTGAAGTTCATGGAATGCCAAGCTCAATGGAAGAACAATACCTAACGTTGGAAAATCTCAAAGCAAAGCCTGACAGTGCTCTGCTAGCCGCAGGCCTAATCAGCGGACTTGGGGAAACGGCACAGTCCTCCAAGGCAGTCAGCAACTTTTGTAACCGACTAGTGAGCGACGTCGCAGGAAACACCCCGGAAGACGACAAGACAGGGCTGAACTTGGCACTTCTGGCCATTACTGCTCAAATTTACAAGCCAGGAGAGCTTCCGGTGGCTACCAACCGAATCGTATTTGCGGTAAAACAGGTGGCTTCGTGGATACAAAATGCCACTGTGCTTAGCCCGAGCCTCAGCGCCTCCATCTGCCGTGCTCTCAACGTACTTTTACCATGCATGAAAGACGTTTACGGATCTCACTGGGAGATGACCCTGCAGTTCTGTACAAGCCTTTGGAATGGAGCCGCGAAGGCAAACCTTGATGATGCCTTACCGGCCATTCATGCCTCCCTCAAGCTAGTCAAGACGCTGGAAAGCATGAAAGAGCCAAATGACGACCTTGAGGATGCGTTGCGAGAATTTTCCTCTGCAAAGCCTTTGGGCTTGGTTGAGCTTCTCAGATTAGATCCAGGGACTAACTCGCAGCCACTTGAGATTGTCAACGGAATCCTTTCCCGTGAAGTGGAAAAGATTCCTGTCAGCAGAATACCGCAACCTGAAGAACTCTTCAGTTTGATGGCCTCGCAATCGAGAGATGTTCAGACAGCCTCGTTTAACCTCCTCCACAGAAAGATCCTAGCCGATCAAGAGCAGAAGTCTATCGAAGTCCTTCTAGACAAGACTGGTATGTATCACCCATGCACACAGGCGCAGACAGAAGGGCCGCGAAACATTGCGTTGTGACGGCGACTAACATTGGAACAGACGCTCGGTTACCTGATGAACTCGTCTCGCTGTTCCTCGATCCCCCAACCTTGGAGAAGTTCTCGGATGAGTGGCTGTCGTTGTTTCCGACATCAATACGCGGCTACTTGCTGTCGTGGAAGTTGGTGTTTGACGCGTACTCGTCATCGTCGTTCAAGATCCGCAACGACTATACTGAGCATTTGAAGTCGGAGAAATTGATTGACCCTCTGATGGACTTTTTGTTTGATGTTTTGGGCCATTCAGCTGCTCACCCGCTTAACCTTGAGAAAGAAAATATCGGGCCTGCGCAAATTTGCGACTACGACATCAAATCCGCAGAGGCGGAGAGCGCAGAACAGAGCCTGCACTGGCTACTTGTTCATCTGTACTACCTCACGCTCAAGTTTATCCCTAGTCTCTTCAGGACGTGGTACATGAACTGCCGCTCAAAACAAACCCGAATCGCTGTAGGATCCTGGACCACAAAGTACTTGTCCCCCATCATTATCAGGGAGACCTTGGACGGCATACAAGTTTGGGCGGACCAGCAACAATCGTCGGCGACGGATGAACAGGAACTCATAGTCAAGGTATCCAAGCTGGGCAAAGAAATCACGGCGGGATACGAAGTGGACGAGTCGCAGGCAGCCATTGTCGTCAAAATGCCACCCAGCTACCCGATCGAGAGCGTGACCGTGTCGGGCCTCAGTCGCGTCGTGGCCAACGAACGCAAATGGCAAAGTTGGATCATGACGACTCAGGGGGTCATTACATTTTCCAACGGCAGCATCATAGACGGCCTTCAGGTGTTCAAGCGCAACATCATGGGCGCGCTCAAAGGCCAGAGCGAGTGCGCAATTTGCTACAGCATCATCAGCACGGACAAGCGCACGGCTGACAAGCGATGCCGTACCTGCAAGAACCTGTTTCACAGGACATGTCTATACAAGTGGTTCGAGACGAGTAGCCAGAATACTTGCCCATTGTGTAGGAATACGATTGACTACTTGGCGGCGGATATATCGAAGAGGAGGCATGACTAGACTTTGCAGGGGAGTTGTTAGGATGGGGTTACATGGAGAAAAGTCTGGGTTGGACGACGGAAATTTCAAAATTTGGGTCATTGTGAAGCAGCGGATTGATTTAATCGCACGTTTGTTTGGTTCCTGCATGGATAAACACCCAGGATTGACCGCAATGTTGTCATTGCGACTACGGCATAACTTACCGAGCTCCTCCTGGCCATGTCGGTACTGGCGTTTCAAGTCGTCGCGACCATTCAAATGGCCAAATTACTTTACTCGACAGGAAAGTGATGCGAGGCGTTTGGGTCGACCACGATACACTCAGTGCTGGATGAAACGGTGCTACAGGCAAGAAGGAAAGAAGAGAAAAGGAAAAACAACCTTCAACTCATTTCGCTAGGGGCTCTTCTCATCTGACGTTTTTTCCAGAAAGAAGGCGGCAGTTCGGTTCAAGCGGCACTCGACTCCACGGCGTTTCACGTGTCCCCTTTCCTTCTTTTGGGGAGCCCGGCGCATGTTTACTTTGCCTTGGGCCCCGAAACCACGAGCCGCGATGCTTGTCCCAGGACAGCAAGTCGAGCAAGGCTGAGAAGGCCCGTTTGCCGGGAGATGGCTTGTTTGTATCAAGTGGCTGTCTGGCCGAGACTCGTGCCTCTTGGCGGAGTTGTGTAGCGACATTGCAGGTCGGCCGACAAGGGACGACATGCATACATATATGTCAGCTTGGGTACTTATTTGAGCCTGAGCCGTCTCATGGTACGCGCCATTCCGAATAATGCAACGGATGCGATATCTCGACCCACCTGCTCGAGAATAGCCTCAACCACCGGGGGGAGGGGAGGACTTGCCCTGCTCTGGCTCGGGCTTCGTCCAAGTCGTCAAGAGTATATATAAAGGCGATAGATGGGCTGCTGTTGCTGAAGGCTTTGGCCAGACAGCTCCAACGAACAAACTTGGCACCCATCTCCATCTACGCTCCTTGACGAAACTTGACCAGCAGTCTCTCTTTTGATATTTCCCTTGAACAAATTAAAGAAAATGAAGTTCGCTCTCGTCGCTCTTGCCGCGGCCACCTCCATCGCCGGCAGCCTCGCCGTGCCTACCCGCGGCCCCGAGTCGGCTCACTTGACACAACTCCCGCGCGGCAACGGCACGAGAGCTGCTCTGTCGCGCCGACAAAACGGCGACAATCCGTGGGGGGGCGCCGTCCAGGAGGGCCAGGGCTGGAGCTACGTGACGGGGACCGCGGTGGTGCCCGACGTGCGAGGCCAAGACCCTTCTGCCGGGGCCGCCGTCTGGGTCGGCATCGACGGCTATTCGTGCCAAAACGCCATCCTCCAGACGGGCTTCACGCTCTGGGGCGACGGCCGCATCGAGACCTGGTACGAGTGGTATCCCCAGCCTAGCTACCACTACACCACGGACCTGGGCGTCCAGCCGGGCCATCAACTCCGCATGAGCGTCTACGCCGACGGCACCACCGGCGGCTGGTCCGTCATCGAGAACCTGTCGACGGGGCAAGCTGCGCGCCAGAGGTTCCAGGGGATGCGGCCCCAGATCTGCCAGACCGACGCCGAGTGGATAGTCGAGGACTTCCTGGAGGGGCAAGGGCACGTGCCGTTCCTCGACTTTGGACGGGTTCAGATATACGACGCCCAGGCCTCGGGGCCGCGGGGGACCGTGACGCCCGAGGGGGCGACAATGGTTGAAGTTACTGTCGGGGGACGGCCTCGCACGCAGTGCTACGCCAGTGGAGGCGAGGTCGACTGCCGCTACGTCTGAGGCGGTCATCTCGGGAGGTTCTTTCAGGCCGGCGAGCGTTGATGTTTGACGGATGGCGGCGAGCGTCCCCAGACCCCTTGTACATAGTCGTGCTTCGCGTGGTTTTTGGCTGTGCCACACATCCCATGCAAGATAGTATTGAGTGTTCTTTGCATACCCGTCCAAGGCCCCGACCGTCTCCAACGTGAGCGACCTTGTGCTGTTCCTCGGCAGGAGCAGAACAACCCTAACCCTGGGACGTCCACACTGTTCCTCCAGAGCTCTCTGCACCTGGGGCTCCGACCTCGGCCGGCAAGGCGAATTTGCACACGTTTGGTTCGGCTGGTCCTGGGCAAGACCAGCATGCCCTACCCTTCTCCTCTGTGTTGTCGAGTTGTGCCCGACTCCCCGTTCGGCAACCAGTGCTCTGGCTCGTTTGTTGCCGTGGCCACCTGTTTTGCTGCAGTTTGTAATTTAAATTTCTGAACCACGTCACGGCTCTTGTCTACGCATGCACTCCACGACATCGACGACAGCCTAGAGCTCTAGCTGGAGCGCCGGAGGAGAGGCACCTGGCGGTCGGTGACGCAACGACGCTCGCTCGGCGCGGGCAGCAAAGGATACGACAGACTTGCCAGGCGGACGACGGCTCGACGCAAGATTCACGACATGCCGCTTCAGATGCACAGCGAGGCACACGGGCTGACGACAAAACGCGGGACCATCGATTCAAATACAACCAAATCCGCGGCTAGGAGCTGCACCATCAGCTCACTTCTTCTTCTCCTTCTTGCCGGTCAAGGCGCTCGTGACGCTCCCCAAACCAAGTCCATCGAGCACCCTGTTGAGACCAAGTGTGCCAAGCAAATTGTCAACCAGTCCGCCCAGGCCCAAGCCACCCAGCTGGAACTCGAGTCAGCGAGCCGCACCTCAGTTGGAGGCTTCTTGGAGGCGGGACAATAAGAGAAGCAAGGGAGGGAACCTACCAGACGACCGACAAGGCTGAGAACGCCGTTGAGGAGGAGACCAACCGCCGCGACAATCTGGAACAGTGGCTCCGAGAGAAGGCCCCAGAGAGGGTTCAACTCCTTCTTGGCGTGAGGCATGCCTTCAATCTTGCGCTTGGCATTGTCAATGGTTTGGGTCACGTCACCGGTGAGCTACAGGAGCACGTGTCAGTAGGAATCGCATGCGTCCCGAGGGGTCTGGACGCGGCGGGCGTGGGACCTACTTCTTTGAGAACCTCGGCGAGATGATGCTCCTCAGGGGTCGCGTCTTTCGTGGAAGCCTTGTGCTTGGCCTGCCTCTGTATGCGGCCGTCGGGATCCATGCCCCGGACGACACCGTTGGTCTCGGTGAGGATCTTGCTCCCTTCCTCGATCAGAGGCCTCACCTCCCTGACCAGCTGTTCCTCGTCGAGCTCCTCCTTTGGCGTGCGCTCCGCCGTGTCGACCTTGGCGGTGATCATCCTCAGGATCGGCTTGATCTTGTCCAGAGACTGCTCGATGGAGGCGGCGAGCTGGCCGGCTAGCTTCCTGTCCCTTTCGGCCTGCTCTCGCTTCTCCTTTTCCTCGGCAGGCTCGGTTGGGATGTCCGCAAGCAGGCTCACGTGGCCGACGGCAATGCCCTTGGAGTTGACGACGTCTCCGTCGTCGTCGATTTCCTTTCCGGCACAGACGCTGAGGTCGCCGCTCACCAGCCTGCCGATGATGTTGCCGTCCTCGTCGACGACGTTGCCCTCGCGGTTGACTCGGCGTCCCGCAAGGGGATCCTTCTTCTTCTCGACCTCGGGCTCCTCCCACCGCTCAGCCCTGCCCAGGACGTTGCCGTTCTTGTCGAGCACGTCTCCGTCTTCGTCGACGGGCCGGCCGTACAAGGCCTTGCCGTCACCGCTGGTGAGTCTATCAACTACGTCGCCGGATGATGTGACCACTTTGCCGTCCCTGGTGACGGTGCAGCCAGGGAGGTCCGCGAATGGTCCGTCGCGAGATCCCTCGCGCTCCGACTCGGAAACCAGCTCGGCTCGTCCTATCTTCTCGCCCGACTCGCTCATGATGTTGCCTTCTCTGTCGCACATGCGGCCCACGAGCGCCTTGACATTGCCCTCGACGACGCGGCCGAAGATTTGGCCGTGCGCATCCACCACATTGCCGGCTTTGTTGACTCGCTTCCCCGCCAGGGAGGACATGTCGGGTGCCTGTTCGGGAATCGGCTCGGGCTCGTCCCAGGGCACTGCCTTGCCGATGACGTTGCCGCGGCGGTCGAGGATGTCGCCGTCCTCGTCGACGCGGCTGCCCTTCATGCGCTTGACATCACCTTCGACCACTTCGCCGACCTGCCGTCCCTCGGACATGACACGCCCGTCGCCTTCGACTATGGCGTCGGGGAAGTTTTCAAAGGGCGCAAAGTCCTTGGCCGCCGCTTCGCGTTCCAAGTCGGGAATCGGCTCCGCCTTGCCTATGATCTGGCCGGACTCGTTCCAGATTTGTCCTTTTTCGTCGGCCGTCTTGCCGATCAATTTTTTGGCGTCGCCATCCACCAGTCTTCCGATAATGTCCCCATGTTCGTTGACTAGGTTGCCAGCTTTGTTCACCTTGGTACCTTTGAGTACACTAAAGTCCAATGCTTTTTCGGCCGTCTCCCCGGCTTCCTCTGCCCCTTCCTCCGCCTTGTCAGCAGTCTCATCGAGGGCTTCCTTGTCAGCCTTGGTTTCGTCTGATTTTTCTTGGTCCAAGTTATCCTCGCTGCGTTGGTCCTGTTCAACCTTGCCAGAGGTCTCGTCGAGGGCACCTTCGTCGGGCTTAGTTTCGTCTACTTTGTCTTGTCCCAATTTGTCCTCGCTGAGCTCCCCTCCTTCCGCCGTACCAGTGGCCTCATCCTTGGCCTCACCGAGGGTGCTTTCGCCAGGCTTCATATCCTCCAAGTTGTCTTTGTCTGATTTATCCTCGCTGGGCTGACCCTCCTCTGGCTTGAGGCTGGCTGCTTTCTCCTCATCGATCTTGTGGTCGCCCGTGGCACCCTCGAGTCCCTCCTCGGGAGCATTCTCTCCTGCCGGAGTTGCTTCAGTTGACTCCTTCAAAGACTCGGGAATGTCCTTGTCCTTGATGTCCTCCTCAGAAATAGGTCTCGGGCTCTGGGCGGCTAAAGAGTCACCTCTTCCTTGGACGTCATTTTCGGTCTCACCCAGCGCAGACTCTGTCTTGTCCTTGGCCTCGGTAGCAGACTTTTCTGCCGCTCCCTGGGTCTCGTCTGCTTGGGACTTCAACCCTTCCGTTTCGGCACCGACGTCCTGCTGGGCAGGGCTGTCCTTGTCCTCCATCTTGACTGGCGTGGGTATCTGGTCTTCGCCGCCAGCAGACTCTCCAGCGCCTTGGACATCCTCACCGGCTTCTTGCCCGGAACGCTCGCCCGCCTTTTCCGCTTCCGCCTTTTGGCCGCCGGCTTCTTCTCCGGCACGCTCGCCCGCCTTTTCCGCTTCCGCCTTTTGGCCACCGGCAAACTTGCTGTAGGCTCCCTGCAAGTTTTGACCATACGATACGGCACTTCTGATGCTGTCGCCGTACTGCATGGCTGTCTTGGCCTTTCCCAGAACATTCCATCCACCGCCCTCCTTTTTCTCAGGGGCTCTTGTGGGCGTGTAGTTGTCGTCGATGTGAACATTGGCCAGGCTGTCGCCCTTGTCTGAGACAACGTCCCCCTGTTCCGTGACTGCGCCGCCGACTAGCTTTTCATAGTCCTTCAGGTCGGTGACGGTTCCTATGACTTTGCCCGACTTGTCGACAATCTCTCCCTTTTCGTTGACCACGCCGGCCACAGTGCGAGGGACCGACTCAGTGGTATCAGTGCCTATTACACCGACGTGGTTAGAGACGAGGTAATCAAGACCGAGTTCACTCATCAGTAGCTCGTATCTACACTACCAACTGCATATAACCATGTACTTATTGGTGGGTAAGGGGAGGGAGGGTTCTGTCTGTTGGAGGGCGGCATGCAACACGGACCTTGATTCTGCTTGTTGTCCTGCTCGGTCCCAGATCCGACTGGGTTGAGGGACGATAGTGGGTTCTTGACTGGCATAATGCACGTCCGATAAAAAAAAAGCCTTGTCACAAAATTAAGCTATGGTCATGTCTTAGACATGCGTGTCGACCTCGCCCGCCATGCCCAGCTATGGGGCAACTTTATACGTGCAAACGCGGCCATCTTCGAAAACAAGAATCTAGTTCCCTTTCCCAACTGCTCAGACGTCAGCTGTGTGACTGACACTGCTTGACAGGCTGTCGTGCGGTGGTGCTGAGGTCATGCTCGGACTGTGTGGGACGCACACTCCGCCACATACACGTCACTCTTGGTGATCAGAGGACAGGATACAAACCAAATGTTTGCGCATGGTGACGCAATGCCATACAACTAGTTCAGGAACAGGGATGGAAACGAGGCTGGTGAGGGTCATTTTGGTGGTATGAAGTGCAGTGAAGTCCGATGTGGCAAAGGGAGGCACTTTGTCACGTTGAAAAGACAAAGACCAGCGCTTAGCCGATGCAACCATTCCACGTGAAGGGTCAACGGTTATTCGAGTTTAGTTCGTGGAAACGGGAATGGTGACCGTTTGAAGCTGCTAGTTTCGCCGTGGCTTGCGGCGGAGGACTCAAGAGTGACGACTCATATGCATGTACCCTCCGTCCTTCAATCCATTGTTCAGAACAACACAACTATTCTCCATCTGGTACGGAGTACTCCGTGCGCATCGGGCGATCGATCCATTCTTGCGTCGAACCCGGCGTGGACGCAGCAAGTCGAGCTTCTAGACGGCACGACATCCCTGCTAGCCGCGCAGAGACCTCACCTCACCCAGCGGATATGTTGCCGTGCTTCATGTCATAGTTACGCCTCTGAGGTAATAGCAGCGGTGTCTCGCTCATGGGCTCAATGCTTCGCCACAGGCCAAGTCGACCAGCCATCTGTTCATGATGCTGTGATCGCCAGACTTGTCGGGGGAAGCTGAGCCACAGACATTGTGCAAGTTCCCCCGGCGCAGAAACGGCTTGCAGGAGAGAGATGCCGCATCATGCGTGCGGCCGACACCCGACCTTGACGCTTCGTGGCTCTCATCACAACGGGCACTGTATCGTCGGTCGTGGGACTTGCCAATCCAATGGTTTGGTTGGCCTGGCCTTGCTGGAGCTTGAATTGCAAAACAAAAAAACTTCAGTGCGTTTAAATAATCGTATTTGATCTATCATTTCTTCTCATGAGGCCGATTGAAGACTGTAGGTATCTTGATTATCAACTGGATACCGTCATGTGTAGACTTGACATCCAGGTAAATATCCGATGGGCTTGGAGTCGCCGTCGCACGAGGCACATCGTCAGTCGCAGCCTCTGCTGGCTCCTCCTGCGAGGTCTCTTGCGCTCCGGCACCGTTGTTTCGGGCCGAGTTATGACTTCTCCCTCGCTCCCTGCACCTCTCACAACCTTGGGCGGCGGTCGTCTTGTTTTCGGCGGAGTGGTCTTTGATCTTGCCGACGACCGCGCCGTGGTGGTCGTAGATGTTGCCCGTGTGGTCTATTTTCAATCTCTTGCTGCCGCGATCCTCTTTTGGTGTCGATGGGTTGACGAAGTTTTCAGACACATTGCCCACTACATCTCCGCCGCCGTCACGAACTCTGCCATCGCTGGATACGCATCTTCCAACCATGGACGGCAAATCTCCCTCCACACGGCCCAGAACGGTACCGTCCCAGCCTAGGACGTTGCCGAATTCATCCACGCACTTGGCCTCGAGCCCACGCGCCAGCACGGCCGGGTCTTCAGTCAAGGAGATGCCCGCCGTGATTTTGGGGATCTGTATGGGATTGTTCTGTGAGTCTTGGCGGCGTTTGGGGGATCCGAAAGGGGAATCGGAGCCGTGGTCAGGCTTTGGTTCAGGCAGCAACTCGGGCGACTCCGTCCCAGGCGTCGATGTGCCCGTCATTTTCTCAGAGCCCTGGTAGGACATGCTCGGCAGAGGCCAAGGAGAGGATGTAGGATCACTGGAGGCCATTCCTATACCTCGTGGGCCTGCTCCGGATGCGAGTGATTATGAAGAGAGAGTCATCATGGGTGGCATGTCTCGGGCTCGAGGCTGAGGCCGAGGCTGCAGCTGGAGTCGTCGTGCCTCTCCTTGTATGGACCACTTGCTGCGGCGATCCCTTGTCAATCGGAATGAATTGGCAGCGCCTCGGCGAGATGCCAAGGACAGAGCGGACAAGTCGTGCCGCCTTCTGTCTCCTGTGTGCTCCTCCATGACCGTCACCAGACATTGAAGCCAAGGATGGAAATCCAACTGCCCGCGTTTCAAGCCCCGTTAATAAGCCCACAAACTGCCAGCCGCCTGCACCTAACCAAAATCGGCATGGCGCACATGTCCAGTCCGTCCTGACTGGCTGCCAAACTTCGCCGGACCCACCAGGCTCCTTGGATAACAACATCGACAGGGCGACACTTGCGTAATTCTGACGTCCGTCGAGCGGTTGCGCGAGACTCGTTCTTCCGTGTACGAAATCGCCGCCATCAAGATCGACCTTGTATGGACTTGTACGGCTCCTTGCTGTTGTTTCTTGACATCAAGACACTATTCGTACACTTGTCGTCCTCGTCTCGCATTTCCTACCACTGACTCTCAACGCCCATGACGGTTGATCAATCTTGTCCGTCTCTCACGTAGGAGCTTTCCACTCCGAATACCGGCTTTCGATGAAGCCGTACCGACCCCGAGCGTCCCTGTTGCTCGTCTGGCTCGTCTGGCTCCCAGTACAATATCCACCTCTCCACACCGTCGAGTTCCCGTTTCCTCGCCGTGAATCCGCCGATGGCCCCATTCAAGGTCAGAAACCGTTCGTCTTCGCTCCAGCCCCATGGGCCTACAATGTGACCTAGGGTGTCCTTGAGCGCGCCGTACTGCAACGCACGCGTCTCTCGGTTGACGTAGATCCAGTTGAGCATGGGTGGCTCATCCTGTATGCTGCTCACCAGCCCCAGGAGCCGCTCCTCGCGGGGATACTTGAAGTGAAAGCCACAGAATTTGTGGCCGCGGACATTCTGCCCCGGGAATTGCAGCACTATCTGTTCTTCCAGTGTTAGTGCGATACGCCCCTACGATGTTTCAAAAGGGTCCGTCGCCACGATGCCGCGGTGGTGGCACTAACCTTTCCATCCTTCAGGAAACAGGCCAGCAAGCCCTCGCTCGGCGGACGTGTCCCGTCAAATTCTGCTGCCAGATTGATCTTTTCCTGCTCTTTGGAAGCAGCATTCTGGCGCTTCTGTGCACTCACCGCTTCGGCGACGCCTGTGATCGTGGGGATGGCGGTGATGGTAAGGAGCCCGACAACCATGGTGGTGTTGTGTGAATCGTGTCCGATGAGTGTTGTATTCCGTATCGAACGTGAGCGCCTTTTGCTTGCAAACGCTGAGACGTGTGCAAGAGCGTGGACTCTCCCTGGGGCTGTTTTATTCCCGCTTCCATCTGCGTCATTGTCATATCATTGTTCCCCTTGTTCAGAACCGGATTGCGTCTCCTCGTACTCCGTACTAACACCACTGTCTCCGTCTCCGAGCCACGTCTTCCCTCGTTCCTCACACCCCCCTCCCCGTCCCGCCTCTGGTACTTGATAGATCGGGGGCTAGCTGGGATTCTCTCCCAACCTCCGAGGCGATTGCCTGTCATCAGACGGCCGTCAAATGAGAGCAAGTGCGTCATTCATGCATGCAAAGGGCCGCTGCCCGTCTCCGACCAAGTGCCGGCTGCCAACCTAGCGGCATTCTCAAGCAGGTTTACATGGCTACATGCTATTTTTAATCGTGCCCGCCCCACTTTATGTGGTTCGGCTAGCAAAAGCCCTCACCACCAAAGGTGGTGCTCGACAGCAAGGCGGGCCGGACACCAAGGCGGGCCAATTTTCAACCTAATAACGCTATTAACCTCTTCGCCTATAATGTACACCCTTCTCGTCCCAAATTTCTAGTAGATCTAGTACAGAATCCAGACGCCATTTACGTGCCTTTTTAGCTGCTTCAAAAAACGTCCTCTTGGCGTGGTTGTGGCGCCTTTTGTCGGCATGCTCTTTATGCTTGCTGTTCGCCTGATGAACTCGAGAAAGGTCTTTGCAAAGGCGTGATTGGAAGGAGAAACGGCGAATGGTTGACGCGACAGGTATGCATTTGTTGGCGGTGACGGGAGGGGAGCCATATGAAGAGGTGCATTATCTGTTGACTGTTTTTCTAGACCGGGAAATAAAAATAGGACATGTATAGAAAACCAGATATTACAGCCCTTTTTAAAAAAAAAATCAAAAAAATCAAAGGTCGTCACTCATTCATTGGAAGCTTCAACGAAAAAAAAAACCCCGGATGTAATTACGCAGCTCATTAAAGATCCACCTGATCAATCGCCGGCCACCATTGAGACCAGGCCCCCTGCTCGTCGAGGTTATTGCTGACTTCCGCGAAAAGCTGGTTCAACAAGGTATTAGTGTCGAGCTCGTGCTCGTGCTCGTGCTCGTGCTCGTGCCCTTGAACCGGCCAAGTCGCCTGCGCCGAGGGCCGCTCCGCGCCCCGAATCTCCCGAGTATGCGCGTCGGATCTATCCACGACACGGAACTCGTGGACAGACTGGTGTAGAGTATCAAAGTCTGCTCGTGTGCGCCCCTGGTATCGTGTCCGGTCCTCGGTTGCTCGCTCGTAGAGCACGGATGCATGGTGTATCGTTTTGATCTTGCGCGTGCCGCCCTCTCAATGTTAGCGCAACGGTGGCCACGGTCGTGTCATGCTTGCGGGCGGCTTACCCATCCGTCGGCGATTTTCCAGACAAGTCGAAACTTTTCCAGGTAGTCGAGACACATTTTGAGACAGTCGCTTGCTCGCGGGCTGCGGCCCAGGTTCATTCGGGGGTATTTCGCCACGTAGAGGTTGAGGTAGCCGGCTGAGAATGCGCAGAACCCGGCAAAGGGCGTCATGAGATGCACGCCACACTCGGAGGCCTCGTGTAGAATGGCGGCGATGTGCTCTGCCGCGCCGAAGAGGAGTCGGGAGCTGTCGTCCCACCAGCCCTCGGGGGCGGGCGCCCCCAGCATGGGCTGGTCGACTGGACCCCGTGGCTCCGACTCCGGGGTCGGCAGGAAGGGGAAGTACTCGCGGTGAAGCATGAGGGTGCTGACAAGGCGTAAGCAGGGGCGGCGGCGGCAAGTTGGGAGCCCCGTCGACCGCTACCGCTGTGGGAAGGGGATTCTTACCTCACGTAGTACAGGAGCCAGACACGCAGGAGAAACATGGTGAACTTGTGTCATGTGTGACATCACAGCCACCCATCTTGTTTCAGTGAAAGCCGACCAAGAACCATAAGAGAGAAGCAGATGACATCGTGTTCCTCAGCTCGACATCCCACAAGCACTCTGCACGTTCCACAACCCCCAAGCTCTGCAATAACATCCCAGAGAACCATCCGTCAACCCTCATCATGGCTGTGAACGTAAGCTTGGCGCCGCCGTAGCTCCCTCGGCCTCTCACCCCCACCAGGTGCTGACAACTATCTCAGGAACAAACAATGGAGAAGGAGAAGGAGGATAATCAGCAAAACCAGAGTGTCAGCGGTCAGTTCAAATCCACGGTCCTTTTGCGAACCGTGCGGCTGAGACGTACGTGGTCCCTCTAGAGTCCGAGAACGAAAACCAAGAAGACGACGACAGCGGCCCGCGGATCAGCAACGAGAGCACCGAGGAGGAAGAGCGCCAGACTCAGCAGCTCGCGCCGCCCACCAAGGCGGCAACCAGGAAGCGCAAGCGACCTCGCAATGACCCCTGGGATGACGAGGACAGGCAAAACCAGATGGTTGCGCGGCAGCAACGGCAGCAGCAGCAGGTGCCCCAGCCCATGCCCCAACAACAAATGATGGCTCCGCCGAGGGACGAAAAGAAGAACCCGCTGAAGCTGCGTCTGGATCTGAACTTGGACGTCGAGATTGAACTGCGTGCCAAGATCCACGGTGACGTCACCCTCGCCTTGCTGTAAGTCCTGCCCACGTGGTGATTTTCCATTCATGTTAATAAAGAACTGACTCGGTGCTTAGCGACATGGGCTAGTGAGTGACGAGAGCGACGGGGGGGCGATGTGTTGATAGATTGAGGTAGACCCTGGATGGTTACACTTGTTTTGTGCCTACTGCGGGTTGTTGAGTTGTTGATATGGATATATATATTTGCAGTGCATGATTCCCACCCGTGAGCCGCCAGGACACTCTAGCCTTCCTTGTCAAGTTTGGGCCGAGCGGAACGAAAGCTGCCGACGGGTGGAACACGTCAAAGCGCGCCCGGCCTCGACGAATCTATTTCGTCCCTCCTGTCGTCTCGCCGGAAAGAGACGGCAGGATATGGGCCGTTTCAAAGCGTCAGCGTCAGCGTCTGCGTCTGCGTGATGATGGTGGAACATATCAAAACAGAATTCCTAAGAGACTGGGCACCCAATCCCATTAGTCGTCTCCTGAGCCAGACAACAAGTCCTTTCCCCGCCGTCGGTAAAAACACCACCTCATTTTTCGGTCAAAAGGGTTCAACGCTTCATTTCTTCCTCCGTCTTGGGTAACCAGACCCAGCTATTCCACAAAAAACCACGCCACCTTTTCACATGAAAAGGGCAGGACCCCTCATGACGGCGTGTCTTTTTCTAATTTTTTTTTGTTCTTTTCCTCTGTTGGCATGCTCATGGGTGTGAGCCGTTGTGTGTCCGGTCAAATCGTCAACCGTGGAAAAGGTTGTCAACACAGTACTTTGGGTGTGTATGTACTCGGGATTAGTCCAGCGCCCTCGGCAAGGGCCAGCCATGGCGCATGTAGGTTGAATCTCTGGCCATTGATTTCGTTTTTGCCAGAGCCGTCGGAATGTCCCTTGGACAACGCGCTCCTGGATCCAGGCCGTAAGGGGGCTCGGCCCCGATATCGCAGTTTTGACAGGTATATGAACTGCAGTTTTTCCCGCCCTTGTTGATCCCTTGGTTTTCTTGCTGTTGAGACTGTCCAAGGGGGATTTTTTTCTCTTTTTCAACATATATATTATTTCGGTACCTTTGGTTCCATCTGACAAGGTCCACGGTCACCAGGAGCCCCCTTTCATACCAGCAGGCGCGTTGTCAGCATGAGGATCAAAATACTGCCACTCCTCGTCGTCGTTGGACTGGCGAATGCCGTGCCGGGGATTCGTCGAGCGCCTCCTCCTATACAACCATCAGATCCTCCAAGCAAACAGCTCTGGGACTCAGTCGTCGGAGGGTTTCGAGAATGGGGCCTCAACGGTGACTTGCAGCCCCCGCCAAATCGCAACGCGCCTCTGAAAGAAATGCCATTTGGACTGGGGTTGCCCAAGCCGCGGCAGCGTAAGATCCCCGCCGGCTCCATCGTCAGAGTCGGAGTGACTCGAGCCCAGGGCCAGCCCTCGGGGCGGCAGACATGCAGCAAGCCGTGCTGGAGAAAGAGGCAACTCTGCTGCGACCTGGGCGAGCTGGGAAAGCCGACCAAGCCGAAGAATCCTGGCAGCAAGCCTGACAGAGGAAGCAAGGTACGGGTGAACAAGGCGGCGGTAGCGAGGACAGCTGCCATTGCCGTGTTGACGCCGCTGGCAAAGGCCCTGCTGAATGAGCTTCAGCGATGGGACAACGTCGTCGGACGTGCTGTGCGCTGGTTTGAAGCGACGGTAGCGTCCATCCAGAGGGCGATTGGAGGCTCGCCGCGGCATGACATTGACGGAAGTGACCTCAAGGCGGCTTTTCTATGTGCGTTGAAGGGAGGACGGGCAGAAGACAACATTTTCGGACGCAAGAACAAGCTATGCACCCCGATGGAGGACGAATTCAAGGACAGTCTCCAGGCCAAGTTTCGAGAGGGAAAGATTGATGAGCTCATGACGTTGTGCAGAAACGCCGGGACCTACAGGGGCGGCGACGTTCACGTCTGGAACTGGTCGAGGAGATACTGCGATGCCTTTTATCGCACTGACGAATACGCACAGCGAATATGGGAGATGGGACTCGACGGGCTCGTGGATTCTTGCTCTGAGCTCGAGGTCAATCCTCCAGGCGACCAGAGGCTTCGGGCCAACCTGGAAGCACGCTGTACCGAGTTCCTCCAAGGTCTGACAGACGCGTAAAGGCGCCTGCGCCTGATGGACGGGAGCTGCTGGGAGGGGAAGGATGTCGTGGAATCGTGGGGAGAGAGTGGTTGTCATGAGAAACGCAGAGCACCGAGAGAGAGACTGACAAACCACCAGTGTCCAGACAGCCGATCCCTGCTTCGAGCCAGATGAAATTTGCATTCCTCTGTCAATTAGCTTTGCGCTGGCATCTGGCCACGATGACTGGACGGGCGAAGGAGGATGCACCACCCTCGAGGTCGTACGCGGACGGCGGTCGTGAGTCCTGACTCCTATGGTAGCGGTCCAAAGTGTGACAAGTAGTCCATCAGTTAATGAATATTGGCGTCGCCGTCACGGCTCCTCATCTGCAACTGTTCATTGCGGGCCTCTCGAGAACGCTGTAGTGACAATGGATGCGGATGCTGGCGACAATGGCGCGTTACCTCCTCTTGCCGGTGCAGCTTCATCTTGTATTGCCGAGGACGAAATGAGAGCCACGTGGTCCGTTGGTTCCGTTGGCCCAACTTGAACCCCGGCGGCGGCTTTGCCTGAATTTTGGCCGCTGGGGCCACGACAACGAAAGAATCTCCCAAACTCCATGCCAATGGCCGTTGGTCATTGCCGCCGTGGCTGAATGGAAGAGGCGCCGTGACGCACGGCCTACAGCGTGAGAAGGCTCCTGCGGTTCCCATGCGCCTCGATCCGGGCCCTATTTTGATCCCTCGAACCAGCAAATACCGTGACCAACAAGCAACCTCTAAATATCACCTTCACCCAACGCATCACTCCTCGGCAGTTCAATGTCCACCGTCCATGGTAACTGCATGGCATCTTCGCCAGGGCCTTGAATAGCTGCGTTGACGAAAAGCGTCTGTAAGCCCGGCTGTACCAGCCCATCATCCCCCTTACAATGGCTCGTCCGACAGAATCCGTCGCTGATGTATTGTCGCCGCTCCGTATTCTTTTCAGCTATCGTTTCCGCCGTGTCGAATTTTCGAGGGTACAAGGAGGTGAGTTCCCTCATCGAGAAATATGGACGCCAGTTGCTCGTGCGTCGTGGAAGAGGCTCCGGGCTTCTCCCATGTCGCCAAACTCTTTCTTGATGAGTTCTGGCTCTGTCCAAGGATTTTTCTTGGCGAGCTTCTGCTTGAATTTGGGCGTGTCCAATGTAAAGTCGTGGTTGCCGGCAATGACGACTTTGAGAGGGGCGTCGATGCTGTTTAAAAGCTGGAGTGATGTGCGAAATTCGGCCATTTTAGATTCCTCCGTGAGGTCGCTGCAGTGTGTGGCTACGTCTATCTATAGGTGGAAGAGACGTCATCTGAGGTGTCCCGTCTTCGGCGTGGGTGTCGGAGAGGATCAAAAACCTAGTCTTGGTATCCATTGTCCATGATGCTTCGAATGCGACTTGGATCAATCTGAGGGGAAAGGCAAGGGGGAAGAAGAATGCCTGATGGATGTGATAAAGAAGAAGAGGCTGAAGTTTGCGATTCTCTTGCATCCGTAACTCGGAGAGGGGTCGACGATTTGTTGTCAGGCAAGGTGCAGTATGCTCAAGGAATGGAAATGAAATGAGCAAGGTGGGATGCTCCAGGATAATATACGACTCTTAGTGATTAGGTCATCTTAGTTGACTGCAATTAAAAGTTTGGTTTAAAGATTTGTGGCGTAAAAATGAAACTTGAATTGTAGAATGTGCCTAAATAACTACTAGCTCCCACATAGCTTGAAAGTATAGCTCTGTACGTTGGAGCTAAGATTAAGCTTCAATACTACTTATAATCTAATACACAGGGCATTGCTTCACTGTGATGCCACGGTGAGAATCTGCGTCCATCTTCTGTCGAATACGTGAATTCAGTTTAGTTCAACAGCAGTATCCGTATCTCGAGACTTAGCTGGCTCTATTAGAGTCTCACAGTCGTGCTTCTGGAGCTGCAATCAAAAGCCCCGAGCAAACGTTCCTCAAGGCTGTGGAATGGTCTCAAGTGAATCGAAACTCCATATCAAAGCTAATGCTTTGCCGTCACTGAGGTGAGGGTCTAGCAGGGATGCCTAAACTGGCCAAAGACGTCCTGAAAGGTGAGATTGCGGGTAACCATGGATCTCCTCAGCTAATGACTTGACACTGCGTTCAACAGATTTATAGTGAGCCGCTCGGAAGGCGTTATGCATCTGATACCCCGGTCAAATGGCATACCACAGACGCAGAACGTGTTTTTTTTTCTTTGCAGGAGAGCGCTACCTGTCCTTGCTGCATTTTTTAGTACTCTCCGGCCATGGAACGTATGCTGTAAGCAAAGGAGGAGTGCGCCGGCAATAGAGGTTTGGCGTAAGCGCTGTATTCTTACTTGTGCTCCTCGATGGATTTTTAAACACTGAGAGAACAAAAGGCGCACCTGTGTGGCGCAAGCTTGTAATTCATAGAGTGAAATAGTAGATAAGTGCCCTCGCTAAAGATTAAACAAGGTTAGCAGAATATACCGCGGCTATCTGTCATCTGCCGCCACAGCGCTTTACAACCACGATCCGCAACACCCATCCAACGAGTATCCATATGACTGGTATTTAAGAGAGCTTAATACAGTTGAGAAGGTTTACTTTGATGAGACCGCCCTCTTAGAGAAAAGTCAGTCTTTTGCGTAGCCACTTATGGAATGTTCAACACCTACGCCCATATCATTGCAGCTGTGAGAATAGCCCAGGCAGCCCCTCCGGGCTGGACGACATTACAGAGAAGATTACCGAGGATGGGAATTGGGATACTGCAGCAAGCGACATTGGCCGTATTGGGGCACGTGTTGTTGCGTTTGTCGACCTCGACCGGAGCGGCAACAGCAACGGCGGCTAGAGCAACGACGGCAGTCGCGTACTTCATGATGGCGACTGATTAAGGATCTTAGGCTACAGGCAGCTTCAATATTTGCCGAGATGTTTAGAATGTTGTAGTTGTTCAATTTGTGTTGTCGAAGGGGGAACTGTCAAATAGAGGTGGCGAACAGGGGATTATAGACTTCTCCAAGACCCTATAGTCATTCACTTGGCAGCGTCCTCGAGACATAAGAACGGGTCGCAACGACTTCCTCAAGATCCTACGGTCCCGGGACGAGGTTCCTTTACAGAGCGTTCAATCCGGTCGCGAGCGGCCGTGTTTTCTGTGCCCGCCGCGAATGGAAGCTTCCCTGTGTGTTTTTTTTTTTCAAACCCCGTTTTGGATATTCAATACCATCACGACCCAAGCAGAAAGGCTCATGTCCTTGGTCGACATGGCCAACAACAGCAAGGTAGCCGGCACACCCAAAGGTGAGCTTGTAAGATGGAGTCAACTAATTAGCAACTGCCAGACGTTTGCCATGGTACCAAAAATGTTACATCGACTGTTGAATGCGGTGGGCCGGGCGAGATCCGATCCGGGCCTGGCACGGGCTGCGGTGAGCATATTGCGGGCTTGGGCGCCGCTGGGATCGGCCGATATCAGAATCGTGAATAAAGGAGAGGCGACTTGTGAGTGTTTCGACCCTTGTCATGTTGACCTGTGACAATGTAGGGAAGGGAACTGGGATTAATCGTGACCTGATTGGCTGCTGGTTGTTTGCCGTGGCTCTACCGAGGCCCCCGCCAACGGCCAAATGATGGTGGTCGGGCCCCCGTGAATTCCGTGATAGCCCCCCACTACCGGGGGCTCTCGGGCAGCACTTGACTTTGAATGGACGTCGCAGCGCTGGAGATGTCGACTTTGGTCCATGTCGGACAAAAATAGATGCCCGATGCAAGGGCCGCGGTTGTTTCTCTCAAAGACCATCTTACCGTGGCAGTGCACCGCGTCGCCTCGCCGACAAGTTGTGGACTGGTTCCCTGCCTGGTTCCTTCCGCGCCTCGTCCGTCGCGCCTCCCCAATCCCGCATCTGCGTCTGCATCGTCGACGCCTCCGCCTTTCCAGCGCTCTCGTGTGTGTCCCCGTGCGCTGCTTCATCTCATCTTGCACAGTCATGGCCAGAGCCGAAGCCGCCTTGAGGCTGCTCACGACGTGCACTCGCGCTCCAGCACAGACCAGCAATCCCCTTGTCGATTGATGCCGGCCGTCACTTCTGATCTGTGCCTGTCCCTCTGCTGCGTGCCATGGTTTGGGTGCCAAGCCAAGCTGCGCTGGCCAATCAAGTTCCTCCAACCTGCCCCGCATCTCCGATGCCCACCTCGTCCGCGTCGGTCCACTTCAACTTCCCTGTCACATGTGGCTCATCTGTCCGCCTGTCACTCTCACAATCAACTCCACTCCATGTGTCCCCCGGTCCTAAGCCGCCTCGCCATCGTGTGCCTCATTGTTGCACCCGAGTCCTCCTCTTCCCCCTCGCCCTCCTTTTTTCCCCTCAATCACTTGTTCCTCTTCTGCTCGCCTCCTCCACCTCTGAAGCTCAACCTCTCCAGAACCTCTTCCGACTTCAAGCCCGTCCCCGCCAGGACAATTGTCACGTCGCTTTGGCCTCCCGACCAATGCTCAAGGTGCCAGATCTTTGACAGTCCGCAGGCGCAGCAGCAGCACGTCAGTTCGCCGCCATCATGTTGTCCTCCGTCATGCCGACATCCACGGTTGCCCGCCGCCCGCGGCCATGCACGTGGCTCTCGTGTGTCTCCGCCGCAGCGCCCATTCGCTCGAGACGCGGGCAATGCAGGACCTGCTGGTTCGGTGCCTGGACCAGAGACGGTGATGGCAATTCCTATCACAATTCTCCTCGACGCCGTCATTGGCGCGGCCCCCATCGCTATCGATACATGGAGTCTGTGGATCGCAGACTCTGTTGGAACAACAAGCCTCGCCATGAGTGCATTCAGACTGCCATGAAGTCGGCCTTTGCCCACCTCACCGGTGGCCCCACCGGATCCCCGGCCCCCAAGTACATCAAGCATGACGTCAAGTCGCGGTCCGATGAGCTCGCTGGCGTACGCCCCGGGAGGAACATTGAAGATGTCGAGCGCGAGGCGATTGATCACTTGTTCACCGGCGGCAAAAAGAACCGCTCACAGCCTTCGGGACACTGGTCATCGCGTCTCAGCGGCTACCTACATGGCAGGCGGCAGACTTCAATCGGCGTCACTCCTGAGTCTGTCTGGCATGCGACCACATCAACCGGAGAGCACCCAGAAACCACCACCGCCGCATCCAAGTCCCATACGCGATCCGCGTCACAGGCATCCGAGCTGAAAGGGTACAGCCCTGACGAATTCGATGACCCAAATCCCCCACGGAAACCCTTCTCCAAGAAGTACAGTGATCTCGACAAGTATACAGCTGTGACTTGGAATGAGCCTGATGGCCTGCAAAAGCCCAACTCGGAAGAAAAGTCCAAACAGTACAAGGACTTGGACAAGTACGCCTCGCCCGATACTTCGAAAGAAACCGCTCCCGCCGCAGCGTCTGAGCAGAAATACGATGACCTGAAAAAGTACAAGCCTGTGGAATGGAACGAGCCAGCTGGCCTTCCTAAACAGTCTCCAGAGGAGTTGTCCAAGAACTATAATGATTTACACAAGTATGGCCCCGTTACTTGGAATGAGCCTGATGGACTGCGCGATCTCACCACCGAGGAACTCTCCAAGAGATATGATGATCTCAACCAGTACCGCCCTGTGACATGGAATGAACCTGATGGCCTGCGAAAACCTACTCCCGAAGAACAGTCCAAGAAATATGATGATCTAGACTCTTACAAGACTGGTTTTGTAGCTCCTGATGCCGCCCTCAAGGCCCACCAGGTGAAGCAGCAAGACCCAACCTCTAAAGCGGAACCAGTCCCCGCCAAAGTGGCAGTCCCTGCGGAGGACCCTGCCAAAGAATACAGTGATTTGCATAAATATGGACCCGTAAAGTGGAACGAGCCTGATGGTCTTCGAAAACCGACGCCAGAAGAGTTGTCCAAGAACTACAAGGATTTGCACAAGTACTCTCAGTATCCTAATGCCGGACCCGCAACTCCACGGATGCACCCTGAACAGGCTTCAAAACAATATAGTGACTTGGCAAAGTATGATTCGTTCCCCAACGATGGCGTTACGACGGAGCGTGTTCATCCCGAGCTGGTTTCCAAGCAGTACGAGGACCTACCAACGTACGTCTCGGCTGGCCACGAGCAGTCTGATAAAATAAAGCATGCTCACCCCGAGGAGCTCACCAAGAACTACGCAGACCTGGACAAGTACAAACCTCAATCATTCGATTCGCCATCCATTTCCTACCCGACACATCCTGAGGAAGCCTCCAAGGCTTACTCCGACTTGAAGTCATACAAGCCGATCGAGCACAATGAACCAAATGGTCAGCCAAGTGAGAAACTCGATCCCACAGCAAGCAGCCTCAGCGCTTATGACAGTTCAGGGGAGTCCTATTTTGAACCAAGGACCGCAGATGAGATTCGTGGTGATGTCCTCCGAAGGGCATACCGAAACCGCAAACACACGATGCTCCAACGAGCCAAATTTCAGCAGGAGAAATCCCGAGACTCCAGTGGCAAAGACACAGAGGAGACTACTGGTCGTCCCGGGCGGAAAGCCGACGGTGCCAAAATGACGGGAAATTATGCCAAGGACTTCCCGGATGAATTCGCCACCTCTTGGAATACATCGAACTCGTGGTCGAAAACGACTTTGTTCCCAAAGAACCTAGCCGCCAAGACGCAGACTAGCAAAGCTGCAGGAGCTAGCGTTTATGGCTCTGAAAAGGAGGAGGCTGAAGTGTCGTCTCTGGATGAAAGCTTTCCAATTGAGTCGGCAAAGCTACAACCGGCGCTGGATAGGAACACCATCAAGCGAGCTACGCCAACGGCGACGTCTCCTCTAGAGAAAATGAAGGCAGAAGAGGATCCCTACTCGAGGGCTCCTCAAGGTTTGGAGACTAGCTGGGACGAAGAGTGTGGTAGCAAAGCCACTGGGCCAACATTTGTGCGACACCACAAAGGCAAGGCAAATAAGACTCAGTTTGCTGCAACAGAAACGGGTACCGAGAGGCCGCCTGTTATGTACAAGTCGCTTGCGTTCGACCCTGTCAGTCAGACCATGAGCATTGCCGAAACGTCGTCTGGCGTCATTGAGACTGCGAGCCCTGCTACGCCCGCAGAAATTTTGCTCCGGGTCTCGAACGCGTCCAAGTTTTTTCCCTACTTCAGCGCGCTGCGGGCAGAAGGCTATGAAATGGCATCAGGTGGCGGCGATGTCCTCGTATTCCGCAAGGTTCGGCCAGGGCCGTCATTTGCGGAAAACCAGGGCGCTACCGTTAACCCTATCGACATGATGGGCCGGTCGGCCGCAAGCAGCTTTGCCAGCCCAACTGGTTTTGTCAACTACGAGTCGCCTCAGTACCGCCCCGCGACGGCCGGACAAGGACCGGAACTCAAGATTGCAAAGAAGAGAAGCCTTGGCCGCAAGGTGGTGATTGGCACCGCCTGGGTGGCGGGCACAGCCTATGCTGTCAGCGTCATGGGAGAGTATTTTTCCACCGGTGGCAAGGTATTCTAGGGGAGTCGGGAAGGGGGAGTATGGTGGTGACACATGTATCACGAGGAAGAATAAATAGTTTGAACACCCTCGGGAGCGCACTCGACTCCGCACGGTTGACGCCGTTACTCTTCCTTGTCGTTCGTTTCAATATCTGGCGCTGGGGAATTGGGCACGGTCATGGAATGGCACGGATTACACAGACGGGACAGGTTACTCGGTAGCATATAATGTAGCCATTGCGTTCTACAACGTTTCCCGTTCCTGCGGCGTCTCTGTAGCATGCGGCAGTTGTGCTGCTCGTCGCGCCGTGTCATGAGCCTGACCCTGACCCTGACCCTGACCCGACTTGCTTCTTTCCTTGCCGCCCGCTCGCCCGCTCCTCTTGGCCTGGGTGGTTGTGCGAGTCAGCGTTGTCGTTGGCCGGCCGCGTCCGAGACGTTCTTCGTCTCGGTGAAGCCGAGCCCCGTCTCGATGCCGGCGACGGTACACATCTGCAGGGCGTGCTTCTGGTCCTCCTTGCTCCAGCTCTGGCGCCTGTCGAAACCGGGCTTCCACGCGTCGGCGGCGGACATGGCCCGCGCGGGCGCAGAGCCATCGCCACCGGCTCCTCCTACGTGTCGCCATCGCGACGGCGGGCCGCAGTCAGCATCTCGACGCAACGCAACGCAACGCATCCCCGCCCGTCGGGCTCGGGTGGACAAACCTCCTGTGCGGGCTGGAATCGGGGTCGTCGTCGTACTTTCGGGCATGACGGATCATTCAGCTGGGCGGTTGACGTGGCCGAGCAGGTCGCGCAAGTCGAGCCACGAGGCGGTTTGGAGTTCGCCACCTTGAACGAAAGGACGGACGGATAGGACGGTCCGGCGGGGCCCTGCGACCGGGTTTCTTGATTGGATCAATTGATCTCGGCGCGGCTTACGGAGTACCTGCTTGAGTACCTATACTTGCTGGTACTTGTACGTGCTGAACTTGTCATCCCGAGTCCTTGCCTTGCAAATTCCTCTGGACAAGCGAGCACGCCGCCATAATAAACGCGGCGACAATCAAGCGGGGCACCGGCGGCCGCACGTCCATCCAGAGAACCGCAGTGCGCGTCCATCACGTCGCGAGCTGGATTCCAGGGACCTCACATACAAAGACTCCAAGGTTCCTCATGCTGTCGACAAGATGCTACTTGGTACTGGCCCTACTTGGTCGGCACATGCATCCACTACCATACAAGTCAATCACTCGACGCGCTCCAACCTCACCATCCAAGCGGGGCCAGAGAATCAAGGACATCCCTCTCATGAACTTTTCTCGGCCTGTCACCACGGAGAAAAAGAGAGAGAACGCACACACACACACACACAATAAACACAATAAACACAAAGACAAAAAAAAAACAAAAAATCATCTCCACCCATCGGACAAGCAAACCAACGCCGGGCTATGCATGGGCTTTTCCTTCATCCCCGCCGTCTTGATAAAAAGAACAATGTCGAAACCCATAGACGCGCGTATATCATACCGGGGTCGATTATGTACGTGAAATTAAAAGATCAAGCCATGTCCGTACTAGCGATAATGGATTAAACGTTAAGCTGTGCCCCCTAGACTTGGATGACGTTACGGAGTCTTGGGACGCTTCCAGTAGTATTGCTGTACAGTGTCAGTTCCTGCTCTTCCTCGGGGCCCAAGTCAGGGGGCTACAGACCTTGTGCTGCTTTCTGCAGTTGCGGAGACTGGGCTTTCGGAGACCATCGACGACGGCTGCGCGGCGCTGCTCGTCGTCGTCCTCCTCTGGGACATAGTAATATTCACTTTCGAGGGCCTTTCCGGCAGCGTCCTTGCCCTGGCGCTTGATTATGCCAATGCAGCGCGTGCCTTCGATGCTGGAGCGGACCGCATCTCTTGTCAGGCCCGCCCTGTGTTCAGCGGGCAGGTTTTGCATGATTGTGGACAGGGGCGTCGACGAGAGACGAGAAAAGGCCAGCTGGTTCACGACATGATTTGTGACGGCGGGGTCGACCTCGATGGACGGAGTCGGGGTGTCCTCTTTGGTGGCTCGAGGTGCAACGGGTGGTGATGATGGCACGTCATGCGTCTCGTCGGCCGAGGTCGAGGCCGTCGTGGGCGTGGACGCGACCTTGGGACCAACGGCTGGCTTTTTGACAGGCGACGAAGAAACGGATGGCGTTTCGACGGTGCTCAGTGTCTCATTGGAGGAGACGTTGTGAGGACGGCGATGGAGTGGCCCGGGCTGCTTGGGAGACCGTGCCGATATCGAGGCCAGTCTCCCTGCGAGGTTGGCGCCAAAGGGACCAAACGAGTGGACAATGGGGTCGTTTTCCTCGTCGGGGTCATTCTCGTCCTCGGCATCACTTAGCTCGCTGGAGAAGCTGGCGGTCGCATCCGTCCGCATGCTGACATGGACGCCCGTGGCATCGTCAGCGTTGGGCTCGGGCAGCTCCGGCTCGTCGTCCTCGTAGATTTGAATGCGCTCCTCGCGGCCAACAGCTCCGGGGAGCATGGCCTGGAGTCGGTGGGAGCTCGACAGGCTGCCCATGGGAGTCGGACTCTCGGGCGACGTGATGCGTGTAGTCCTTCGCAGAGGCGACGACTGCAGCAACGGGGCTCCTCGCATGTGCGATGGAGGGGGGGAATCGTCCCAGCTCGAATCAGACAAGTTTGCCAGGTTCTCAGACGTAACGACGCTACGTTTCGGCCACTGGATCATTACACGAGCATCCAAGACATCCACCATGAGGTCGGTGCCCTCCGTCTCGCTGGTGAAGCTGTCGCCCTTGAAGAGCTCCCAGGTGCGCCCCTGGCAGTGGAGCTTCAGGCCGTTCCAGCCGTTGCAGACAACCTCGATCTTGCTGGTTTCCAGAGGGCTTGGAGCCGGGACGTAACGGGCCTTGACGTGAACACGCGACACGAGGCGGTTGGCAGAAAGTTGGAACTGGGACGAGTTAGACGACCGGCCCATACCTACGGTTTCCCCATTCTCAGGAAGCTCAACAGCCGGCACGGCCGACAGAGGGGCGCGTTCGGAGGAGGCGCGGACCAGAGCAGGTCGGCGAGGCGGCGAGCTGGACAAGAAGCCTGTGCTGGACGTGGGCACGGGCGTAGGATACTTGAGGTTTGCGTCTCCCGTGTGTTGGCGTTTCAGTGGACGCGGGAGCGCCGGTGACGACGAGAGGGGCTCGAAAGCAGGCAGCAAGGACGGTGCAGGTCGCTTTGTGCCAGCCGTGCTTGTCGAAGTCGAGGGACGAGCCAAGGCAGACACGGACGTGGAGGACGTGGATGGCAACGCGGCTCCGTTGCGCGTAGCAGCAGCAGCACGCGGCGGTGACGAGTCCATGGTGAAATAGTACTTCTTCTAGTAACGGGATATTGAGGCAGCGAGGCCCAGGAGGACCATACTGGCGTGTCACCAAATGGCTCGTCTCTTTGGCCGTGTGTCGAGGCTGCAAACGCGAACAAGAGACGGCGGCGGTCTGGAGGGGGGACCAAGACGCCCACCGGCAGAGGCTGGCAGAGGCTCCCAGAGGCTGGCGATGGAGAGAGAGATGCAGAGTTTCCGGTCGTCGAATGTCTATATGCTCGATGAGTATCACGATTGGCCGCAGGAACACGTCGAGCGAGGGAGGGTGGTATACAGATGGAGATTGGCTTCGACGCAGGACTTTGGGCCTCGGGCGTGCGTGCAGCGTGGTGCAAGCAAAGGTGCAAAAGGGCACGTCGGACGCAAGAGGAGCGGCCGAGGGTATTTTAATAAACGGGAGACATTGCCTCTGACACAAGTAAGCGAGGCCTGGCGGGCAAAGTGGACTCTGACACGAACGCGATGAAGCGCATCGCGTTGGCGTTGGCGTTGGCGTTGGCGTTGGGTTGGCGTTGCAGGGGTGCGCACTGCACACCGTCCAGCAGAGCGGAGCGGGCACGGGGAGCACTTTGGCAGGGCATTCACTGTGTCGCCGCTGTTTCTCGACCCTTTGAACCACTGGACTGTCCACTGGGCCGCTGCAGCCTGCTCTGCACTGGGCATCAATTGGGCGCTGGGCCTGGCCTGGGCCGTTCACTGCGCCGGCTGACCTGTTGGCCTGTGGGCTGTGACGGGCCTGACCTGACCTGTTGACATTCCAAATCCAGTGTCCACGTCCATCAATGATACTCCCTCGACATCCGAGTCTCGTCTGAACCTGCATCTGTTCACGTCAAGAATTGTCGCGCCCACCACCCGGTGGCCTCGGACCTGCGAACTCATCACGTTGCCAGTTCATGTGTACTTCAGTACTTGGTCGATCCGTAGTTCGTTGAGTAGGTACTTGAGTACTTTAGGTACTTGGTCAACTGCAAAGTACCTACCTGGGTCGAGGTAGTCGCCAGCCTCCTGTGCAAACACGTCTCCACCCGCCGCCGTCGCGTCCGTTTCCTGCCTCGTCCATGTCCCGACTCCTGGACATGAGTCCATGCTCAGCTCGCGGCGCCATTGCTCCGACCCTGCAACCCGTAAAAGGATAAAACATGCAAGTTACCACCGTCTAGTCCAATGCTGCTCCCTGCACCTTCTCGGCCGGACCTTAACCACGTCTAAACCGCCATGCTCAGTCAATGTTCTCATGGCGACGAAAATAGTTCCTTTATGCAAGATTCACTGTGCACGCTCTTTGGTGTATGCAGTTTTGCAGCGGTAGTATCCTCGACTAGCGCCAGGGAAACCGGCATACTCCTCCGTGGGCAGTGTTGGCATCATCCATCGAGATGCCTGGCCGTATCCGCTCCCCGAAACGGTCCTGATGCAGGACAATATGGTCTGGTCTGTCCCAACTAGCCTCGGTCCTTATCACAGCATGTGGGTGGTGATCAGGATCCTTCGCCGTCATCGTGCGCGTCGCCAGTCCAAAGCGTGCCGCGACATCTCGACTTGCACCGTATGCTACTTTCAAATGCCCGGTCGAACGCCAATTTCCCGACGCAAGTCACCTGGGGAAACTTCGCGCCTGATACTGGGTAAAAATTGGTGAAACTGAGCATCTTGCAGCAGTCAGTCCTGCTTGCATTCCAGCCCGCCGGGCGACCTCCGACATTCGGGGTGGGGAGACGCCGTCCGGTCCGGACCCATACAGCGGAGACGCGGGACTTGCTTCTTCCGAAGCAAGGTCGGCTATTTTTTTGGGTCGCAAGAAAGAAAAAAAAAACTGCCTCTCATCACCGCCTTGGACAAAAGACATCCATCCCAACGGTGCGATTCTGCCATTGTTCCACCAACTCTTCATTAACAACTGGCTGCACACCAGTATCTAAGCAACCATGGCGCCTTCAAAGGAGGTTGCTGTCGTTGGCTCCAATGCCCTGACGTCGATCGATCCCGACCAGGTGTGTACCTCGCCAGCAACGCAGTCACCTCGTCCTGTCTGTCACATTGGAACCTCCCAAAACGCTAACCGGTCAGTGCAGACTCTGAAAGCCTCCAAGGCTCTCCTAGCGCACATCAAGAAGGCCGCTAAAGAAACCTCTGACAAGGCAACCAAGCGAAACCTTTACCAGGATGACGACGACGACGACGGAGACACTCCCGTCTGGCTGACGCTCACCACGAAGCGTCACATTGCCGACAAGGCTCGTCTCCAGCCCGGCAAGATACCCGTCCCACACTCCCTCAACACAGACGAGAACAGCACCATTTGCGCCATCACCGCCGACCCCCAGCGAGCCTACAAGAACATCATCGGCTCAGACGAGTTCCCCGCCGAGCTGAGCAAGCGCATCACCCGCGTCATCGACTTCGGCAAGCTCAAAGCCAAGTACGGCCAGTACGAGGCACAGCGCAAGCTCTTCTCCGAGCACGACATCTTCCTCGCCGACGACCGCATCATCAATCGCCTGCCCAAGGTCCTCGGCAAAACATTCTACAAAACCACCGCCAAGCGGCCCATCCCCGTCGTCTTCTCAGCCAAGCGGCCCAAAGTCGACGGCAAGCGGGCAAAGCGCCAAAAGACCAACAAGGACGATAAGAGCCACATCAATGCCGGCACAGCTGCCGAAATCGCCAAGGAAATCCAAAAGGCCCTCGGCTCGGCGCTCGTCAGCCTCTCCCCAACCACCAACACCGCCGTTCGAATCGGCTACGCGAACTGGACGCCCGAGCAGATCGCCGACAACGTCGACGCCGTCGTGACTGGCCTCGTCGGCAAGTGGGTGCCCCAGAAGTGGCGCAATGTCCGCAGCATCTACATCAAGGGCCCCGACACCGCCGCCCTGCCCATCTGGCTGACTGACGAGCTCTGGGTCGACGACAAGGACGTCGTGGCCGATCAAGAGGCCGAGGCGACGGGCGCTGAGAAGGCCAATGTCGGCAAGAAGCGCAAGTCGCTGGATGCTGGCGCCGAGCCCGAGTCTGCTGCCCCCAAGAAGAGGGCCAAGAAGCAGGACAGGCTCAATGCGGAGAGCAACGATGACAAGTTGGACAAGCAGATTACGGAGCGAAAGGCCAGGTTGAAGAAGCAAAAGGCTGCGGCTAAAAAGGCCATGGATGACTGAAAATATGAAAAATGATGAGAGACTTGAGAAAAAATCAATAGAAAAACAAAGATACCGGTGTGCCGGACTTTGAGGTTGAGGGTCATGCTGCATGGAACATGGTTGTTGCATTGGCGTTGAGGCGTTGAAAATGCGTGCTTGTCATGAACGAGACCAAGGTTTTCAAGTGGCATCTTCATCCGCACTCCCATCTTGATTTACACACGGTGATGAAGCACCGAGAAGTCGACGGACTTGTTGATAGAGAATAGCGTCACCTTGTCCTTGTATTTCAGAAAGCCAAACTCGAAACCCTCATTATGTGCCTGATCCGTATTAATACATAACAAGACTGTACAAGAAACACAAGCACGGTTACAGCTCCTGAGACGCGTCGCCGCCGGCAGAAACGGCCGTCTTGTTGAACGGCCCCAAGAATTCAGCCATGGTGTCATTCAGGACCTGCTCCGGAATCTGCATGTGCTCGCCTTTTATCGTCCTGAAGCTCAGCGCACCCTTGCTGTCCAGCACCTTCAAGCCCAGCCAGTCCTCCTTGTACAGCCTGCGCTCCCTCAGGGGCATATATCGCCCGTTGACCTGGACCTCTCCAAACCAGGACGACTCCTTGGGTATCGAAACGGTGTCGTTCTCGAACAGAAACATGACGAATTTGCTCAGAGTAGCAAGGTTCTCCTTGTAAGCCTCATTCTTGAGCTCCCGCTCATTGTTGATATCTGCCAGGTAGTTCGAATTTTCTAGGTACATGTTGTAACCCTCATCCTCGACGGGGCGGTAGTACTGCGCGGGCACGACGCGGCTCTGCACGAAGCTGCTCCACACGTTGAAGCGCAGGAGCGCCATGGCCGCCTTGCAGATGTAATCGACGGATCCGCACTCCTTGAAGTCGGTGATGCCGCCGTGCTGGCTGCCAAAGGTGATTAGGTTGCGGACAGGGGGGAAGTTGCACCGCTCGACGTAGCCGCGGAGGAACTGGCCGCCCTGCGAGAAGCCAATGGCGTCGATGGCAGGCGCTGTGGAGAGGATGGGGTGCGCAGCCAGTTGATCGCATACTCTTTGTACTTGCTCGCTGACGTTGCCGAAGAAGGTGGCGGTGCGGTCGTTGGTCCCATCCCGGGTAGGGTTGATGATGTGGACGAAGATGCCCGGGGCGATGGTGCCGGCGAGCTGGGTGACTTGAGCAAGGCTTTTACTGTCGGTAGCGTCGCCTAGGCCGTGCCAAATGACGAGGGGGAGAGGGTTGTCGCTGTCTTCGTACGAGAGGCGAGGCCTCTGCGAGTTGGTGTTTTGGGGGGGTGCGGGTGCTGTTGCGGCGAGGGAGGAGCCGAGGATGGCGGTGGTTGTGAGAAGAGATGCCGTGCGCATGCTGGGCTTGTCTGGGCCGAGCAGAATCTCTGGCTGGTGAGTCTTGAGATGGAGGTAGTTGCTGCGGGGAAGGGGAGAAAGTCGGCGACAGCATTAGAGGGATGGAGACGGATGCTGGCGTCAGATAAACTCAAAGCTGACCGCGACGAGGCAAAAAGCATCTAGCACGATTGGGCAGCAGGTACCGACGGAGTGCGGAGTGATTACTATCTCTAAGTGCTTAGGTAGCTGTGTAGCACTTTAGTATGAGCCCAAGTACCTAGGTAGGCCTCTAAGCCAAGTACCGACTAGGTCGCTCCTCAGGTGCCGATGCTACGCACATGAGGAGCTGGTGACGAGCGCTCGCTGCTACATTCCTCCGAGTCCGCTAATCCGCTTCAGTCTTGTCCCGCCACCCATTTCGCCCTCCTGCTGGCGAGTTGGCATCACCAACATTCTTCTCCCGTCTCGCCTGTAGCAGAACCGGTTTCCCTGAAGTTATACCGACCTTATCAACGGCCGCATGCATACACTGCAATGGATTGTTGTTCGCTCATCACTCGCATGCAAAGCAACAAGGCATCCCTCATATCTGCGACCGGGTGGCCTCTTTCAGACCCCTTCTGAAACGCCGCGTGTGCCAGGTTGATTGGCAGGCAGAAGTGTCCAAGAACCATCACCCGCTCATGTCCCTTGTTTCATCATTTCCGTGTTGCAAGTCCGGATTCGAAAGGCGCGCGGCTGAGAACAATGCATATGGTGCCGCTCGATCTGTTTCGCAGCCTCTGGGGTGTTTTGCACCGGCCGGCGAATCGTGCACATGGCTGTCGAGGTGGCCTCGAGGGAATTCGCTGAAATGGGCGTCGTCGCCACTTATTTATCTCCAGTGAACTGATTTTGTTTTGGAAGATATGCTCACCGTCAGACTCTTTGTTCCTGATATCTCGTACTACGTACGATTCTATTTCGCGGCTGATCACACTACACTGTTCTGGAGTAGCTCCCTGGCCGAACTACGATCATCCCTCGTTTCGATACTCTCCAACATGAACGCGCTTTGGGTTGTCTTGGCTGCCTTTGCAGCCTCTGTTGTTTCTGTTCCCTTTCAACCGTTCAGGCTTCCTGTCGGCGGGTCAAATGGTGAACAACCAACGCCTCGGATGGTCTCGGTTCCCGACGCTGAATGAGGAAAATGTGTCGACTGCCACGCTTCAGTGCTCAACAGCTTGAGGTATGGCGACTATGCCCCCATGCCCATATGTGAATGTCTGCTCCTGATGATATGCAATTTAAAAAAACATGTTTCAAGACGGGAATGAGCTTGTCGGTGATTCTACTGCTTTTACTGATGCATTTTCGATATCGCGCTCTGTTGAGATTCTGAGCAGAATATTGGCTAACCGCCAGAACCACAGACATTTATTTCCACTGCGACGAGTAGACGGGTCGAAGAGATGTTTGGCTGGACTCGCGGCAGCATTATTGGCAATAGCTGTGCCCCTCAACCTGCGATGTTGCATGCCGGCCTTTACGCTGTAAAAGCCGTCCTTTTGAATACATCACCTTGGTCCGAGAATAACACGCTTCTTCATCAGTCGCCCCGTGAAGTGAATCAATACGTGAAAGTGCTTCAAGGCAGCCCGGTGGCATTACTGAGCAATTTTCAGTGAGCTGGATCAGGCTAGAACTCGAGGAGACTTCTTGATGGCGACATCCGAAATCATTTGGGATTCTCCTTGACCGGGGCGGATAGGAAATTTGTTGGTCATGAATGTTGCAAGCTGCCTTGGGTGAGAGCTGGCGCCCTGCCAAGGGCCAACAGACGAAAGGTCTACCGAGAGCAGAGTTGAGCGTTCAATGCTTGGCCATTTTTGTCCCACCCACTTGAGAAGTAGTGCTCCGTACCAGTTGGCACCATGGAGCGGGTAGACAGGTGCTCCTGGACTCCACGTATTATTGAAGTGCCAAGCATTGGCAGCTGCCGCCGGTGGTCATGCTTGATAGACGACATCCACTGAGCCGCTGGTGAGCAGACGGCATGGGCCGCCTGGTTGGTCCAGATGTCAGACGTCAACTGGTTGGGTGCTAAAGAGGGCTCGCAGGTTGCCACGGCTGTTGGATGTCTAGACTCTGGACCGACTCTGGATTGCCGAGTGCTAGTACGTACTGAAGTACTTTAGTAGTAGCAATAAGTAGGTTCTCGACCTGAATACATGGGCAGGCACCTACTACTAGGGATCTTGGTACTTGCAGTCAGTACCCACATCAAGTGATGCCGAGCGCACTTGCCCACTCGACTCCCATGTTTGTCTCGGTCTTGGCATCCGGCGCAGACGAGATGCAATTTGTCCATCACGAAACCCAAAAGCTGAGACGCCTTGTTATAAAGCGAAGCCTCGTCCCTTCTCGTCAAACCTCGCAAACTCAAACTTGTTCTGCCCCAAAACCCCACAAGGCACCACGACGGGCCAACACATCCGCAAGGCATGCTATCACGCAGAGCCACCATGACACGTGATAGACGTATGCTGTGATCGGACTGGTGCCGCCGTTGACGGTCCTGGGAATACCATGATGCCGACGCCGACCGAGTACTTTGGATACTCGGTCACCAACATTGGCCCTTTGACCACGAGGTTCACGCCCGCGCCCTCCTGCGCAACCACCACGCCCAACGTCTTTATCGAAACACAACTGGCCGACACTAGAGGACTCTACGGCTTTCCTAGCTGCAGCCTACCAAAATACGAAGGATGCCTACCCTACGGAAAGGAGCTTGACGAGTTGTATCGCCAATTGTCGGCCACCCCCCACAATGGGGATCTGGTATATCATTCACCCGGCCTGAGATGTCCGTCGGGATGGAACCGGGTCGGCGTCGTTCACGGCGGTACAAAGCCGCCAACGGAGCTGGAGGGTGTCTTTACTGAAATCATGACGGCGTTTCCATCACCGAATGGCGTTCCGAAACCCATTCCGAGACTGGAGGCATATGTGGATGTACTTGGTCCGTCAGAGACTATGGTGTGGTGCTGTCCAAAGTATGAATATTGTTTCTAGTACTCATCAAGGCTCTCCCAAGCTGACCAGTATCGCTCCATTTTGCTGAACCAGGGGTTTCCAGGCAAACAAAGATGCGTTTTGCACTTCAGACCTAGGACCTCTCTCGTCACTAAGCTATTCGCAACGATGTGAGGTGTACTTGCCATCACAAGACCTGCTGACTGTAACATCATACCAGAGCACAATTCTGAGCGACCCTCTGGTTGTGGTTACCGCCGCGACAACGGGCGTTATCAGCACATCCACGTATCCCATTGAACCGTCCGAGACCTCTGGTCTGGTGGTTGTCAGTGCTGTTCCAGTCGTGGCGCTGGTGTACAGACAGGAAGATAGGCGAGGCGGGCTTAATTCGACTGATATGGCGGAGATTTACGACAGTGCATCGATGAGGCTGAAACCGAACATCTTGGCGGTTGCGTTGGGAACGGCGTTGGCTGCATGGGCAACCGCCGCTCATTTTTAGGGCAGGCCTTGTCTACTATCTAAACCAGACTCAATCATCGACTCGGAGCCTTTGCTTGAGGTACCGCAAACTAATGAACAATATCTTCCCTTTCCTCCCGAGAACTCGTCATGCTGGCGTATCCCGCAAACCGACAGCTAGCTTCTCACCACTTATACTTTACTCATCAAATCCTAACCCTCGACCAAGCGCTTCAAATCTAGCTCGGGCATTTCTTGCTGGTGACGGTACACTTAGTACGTCTCTTCTACCGACATTGACATCCGCTCATAATGTCCTTACTGCCTGGCAAGAATCTAAAATTTCGATTTCCCGAGAACACCGACTCGGTCCCCTCGGAATTCCGGACCGTCTTTCTCGATTCAACGCTTGCGCATATCGCTTTAGTCCATCTGAACCAAATATATTGAATATTGCGCTGTCCGAGCCACCAGTACCCACAGTATTCATAATTGCATCGACACACATTTGTTTTGAGTCCTGGACTTGATGCCATCCATCAATGATGTCGAGTGTCTGTCAATGACGACGTTTGTACCGAGGCAAACTATAGCAAAATCATGAATTTCCCGCAAACTTGCCCATAGGATCCCTCGATAGTTGCTGCGTCAAGCGCTGCACGCCCGCCCAAGTCTAATACTGAGGACGGACAAGGTGTAGGTTGTATAAAAGGAGAATGAGTCTGCCACGGGGTGAAGCACGTTGCGCCTCGAGGAATGAGAGTTGGTCATCAAGAAGAATTAATGACAATGGAAGGTATCGCAGAGCTTGACGACCCTTGAACTTGGGTTTGTTCATCTGGTGTGCAGGGGAGAATCAGCAGAAATGGTAGCAGAGTTGGATACAACGGGATGAGCACACTTACGCTGCACAACGCAAGATGACAACACCAAACAGAAGAAACACGTGAGACGACGTGGGACGCATCTTGTACGACGCTGACATGCGAGCATCCAGGTAACAACACACCTCACCTGGGGAGCCGCACCGGGAAACTGCCTCCCGCAACGATCGTTTGGAGTTCTCAGTACAGCACTCGACAAGAATGCCGTGTCTTCTTGCTATGTGCAAAGTCCCAAAACAATAAGAGTGCTGCACTAGGTACACGCCGCGGATGAGTGTGATGCTCGCGCCAGGAGAAGTCATTCAGCGGCACAGAATTCCCAGCACAGGAACTTACAGAGAATGTTGTGATGATGACGAGAATTTCACGTCGTTCCTATTCACCGTTCCCTTTGCGCTTGCTCTGTTCGCTGCGGTGGAAGAATGAATGAGCCACCGCAGCCCCGGAATGCGGAATGTTGTGTCCTTCATGCAAGATCCCGTGAGCCAGGCAACATGACTGTGAACTTGCTTAGGCCGTGGCTAGGCGGACGATGCGCATTACGGCCCCGTGAATGGTATCTACGGGCTTCATACTGGCGAATTGTGTGTCAATCAGCTCGGTGTCCTCCGGCCTCTCAAAACAGCTGAGTCTTGCAAAAGCTTGGAGATACATGCCCTCGCTGAGAGCATTCTAAAAGCACTGAGAGTAACGACGCCAGACCTTGACCGCTTCAGCCGTTTCCCGAAGCACTCGCATCATCCACCCGGGCTTGTGTATTCGCGCCATTTCCTGGACGAATGTCTCAAATCTCCCTGCGTCGGCATTGCTCCCCGGCACCGTTGCTCAAGTCTCATTTCACACAAACTTTTTCCAGAAATCCACAGCCTGCATGTCATGTCTTGGGTCCCGAGGCGTACCCGCATGTCTTGTCGGGAATACGTCACGGACGGCTGGTAAGACGGCATTTTGTCGCCGTCTTGGTATGCCCACGAGGAGCTGTAGTTTCCGAATTGACGCGTCTGTGCACCAATCCCTTTTTTTTTTCTCAGTGACAGGGGGTGCGTATCTCGCGCTGGCAAGATTCTTGGAGTGGCAATAAGGAGTTGCCAGTGACACGGCTTCGCCGACCATCGTGGACTCTGTACTTCATGGTTCACCTTGATATCCTGGTCCAGTGACTAGGCAGCACTATGTTCCCGCATTTCCTGGTATTAGTGGAAGTAACTTTCAAGGGATTGGCGGCAAGATTGGAGTACTGCGTCGAGCTCTGGCTGCATTGTACACCAGGGAACGGCCAGGAAGAACTGGGTTCGTATTTTGGAAGGACCGGCGCTTAGCAGCTCTGCAATGGCTTTTGGCACTATTCGTCTATATCACAAAGGTCTGTATATGTGAGCTGCACTTCAAAGCCTCCAAGTCGGGCAACGTTGTCGAAAAGTCGGCTGTATACCAACTGATTGAAAGATGTATTTTGTAGGCCTGCTTCGGTGTGAGGATCGCTCACCGTGCTATTTTTAACACCCATACATCTTACGTAGTGGTTGGGGGGAGCTGGTGTAGGAGCGGGAGTATTGATCAGACTATTGACGATGATAAGTCTGTCTAGATGGATATCCTGAGCGTTTGCAGCATCAATGATGTCGACGATTCTCTCATTACGCTGTTGGAAGAACATCATGAACTCTGGGTCCATGCTGGCCGAGTTGGTTCTCGGCCCAGAGACCGATGTTGTCATTGTAATTCTTATCGTGGGTGTACCCCTTGAAGAAGATTTTTGCAGAATGCTGTATGTCGTGGGCGGCTTGGTATGTTCGATTAAGGAGGCGTCGCGATTTAGCTTGAGATTGTACCGACTTGTGTAATGAGAGCCGAGCGCTGGCAGCCCGGCCGTGGGATCTGTGAGTTGCATGCCGCCTTCGACAACCCTACCAGACTTCGTTGGTCAACATATAGAATGTTGACATGATTAATAAAGCCAAGCTGTCTCCGAGTCTTCGATTAATGAAATCGATGGCATTTGATCCCGTGTGGTACCGGGGTACTAGAAGCCAGTCCGTTATTTTTACATACGTACTGATGGGGAATGTCTTTTTTTTGTGTATGACGTCGTCTAAAATACCACTTGGTGAGTGAGCTTGACCAGCGTAGGACTTGACGCTACGTATTATCGTCTCGCACATACCGGGCTGGATGCGTTTCTAAAGGCTGGATACATATGGCCGTGATGAACTCTCGCCGTGTCAATGGCTCGCCAGAGTATCTCAGCCTGCGGAACGTCTCAGTTAGCGTAGAGGTAGAGGTGTCGTTTATAGGACAAGTGAATACATACAACATGGTCCCGTATATTCAAAGCTAGCAGTCAGAAGGCTCGAGGAACCCAACGAAGAATGAGATGCATAAGCCCCCCCCACCCAAAAAAAAAAATGCGGCTATGGAGTCTCCTGAGAGTCTTGAGCCTATTCATTCCAAGCTCACTCATATATTGAGGTCTAGACTTTCCTTTTATACAGCAGGAATAGCGATCCATATCATTCCATCTCTGTTTGTTTGTTAATTGGTGCTTTGCGTTCTCTCTTCACCCAAAGGCCTTTGAGGGCGTATTTCCACCGCACCAGTTGCCAGAGCATTCCCTAGCTGAGGCGGAACCAAAGCGAAATTCTACCAGTACCAAGTATTTCTCGATGAAGGAAAACAGTTTTCGCTTTTGCTGGACGTGTGACAGAATGACGGTGCAGACGGGAAGGGATCTGGCCCCGACAGCCTAATTTCATGGACAAGGGACATTGCCGGGCCAGATAGACACGATTACAATTTAACTGATCGTGTCGGCAGTGAACTCGGGAGAAACTGTAGGCACCCGCTGTTCAGACCTTGATTGCTGCCACAGCAAATTTATTTTGGAGTGGCGTCCTCAGCCCCAGCACCGTTTATCACACCAGCCATATCCTGGTTTAGTAACCTGGCAAAAAGAAGGCCTGGTACTCCGTAGTATTATGAAAGATGGAAACCGGAGTGGAGGGATGCTGCTTGTTTGTATTTGTGGCGCGCTTCATCGTGGAAATTCATGTCTCATTGGGACGCTAGTAGCCGATCAAAGATACTCCTGAATAGCTGAAACAACGAAGCATAATCCCACTGAAAGCAGGGATAACCCGGCGTCGTCGCCAACAGCGTCGTTTGTCCTGCCCTGCGGACTTGAGGCCTGCAGCTCGCCATTCAGGACACGTGGTGGTTGGATGACAATAGATTCCGTCGAGGATACGGAGTGTTTAACTTGGACAATAGACACGAGCCAACTGGTTCCGGGAGCCGTCTTACTGTCTCAACTCCGGATGTCGATACACAGCATTGCCATGTAATCTTCTCCGACATGAGGCTCGGATCTGTTGTGGACGTCTTGTTTGACAGTCAAGAGCCCTGGTACTCCGTAGTGTAGCGGCATTTCGGATGACGGTGACGGGCAGATGGAAACACCAGGGTGAAGAGATGCAACTCCACACGGCACCACAGCGGATTGCGGGATGTAGCGAACAAAGAAGCATTTGATGAACAAGCGGTCAAAATGTAAGTTAAATGCCAAACTGAAGTGCCAGTCGGCCAATGTTTCCAAGAATTTGTCCTGATCCCGATGCCTGACATTGACTCACCACATCGGAAGGTAACTACATCAATAGCGGCATGCCCAGTCTTCCATTGCTCCTTCCAATACGGAGTATACTGTACTCATTTCACGGCCCCTGGAAGGTACGAGGGCCGGGGGACGTAGAAATGGAAAGCGCCAAGAAGCCTCCAGTCTGTCCCGCGGGCTTCTGGTGCTCTGCTGACCCGCGACCCAATGCAGTCATCGTTTGTAACGTCTGAATGAATGTCGCGACACTGCCATCGGAGTCATCAAAGCAAGCATTTTCAACTTGCCGACCAAGGACCCCCAGACCAGAAGCACGGACGCCATCCCCTTGGCCTGGCCATCGGGCCCTCAAACATTGACAAACCGTGCGGATCACATTGGCCCTCGGCTATTTGGCGCTCTGGCCATGGATGACAATCGACGCTCGGCATTCACAACCACCAAAACTCAACCAGCATTCGGTGCCCCAGGCCCGGGCCAAGCGAGCCATGACCACGCCAGTACTAGTTAGTACGTACGTGGCAAATGGCTTTTGACACGGAAAAGGAGCCACAGACGATAGGCTCCAACCCTGGTGCCTGCACATCCAGAATCGTTCCGACACAGCTCGGCCCCTGGTCGTGGAAGCTCCAGAAAAGCCCCCCGCTACCAGTCGAGGTGGTGCAAGGGCCATGTGGCGGCTGTTGAAGATTCATCAGTGTACGGAGTACTCCGTATTGCACTCGTGCAAGACAGACGTCGTAGGTTGTACGAAGAACTTCGTACTCCGTATGATGTACGGCATTGCCCGTTGCCTGTACGAAGAACGGACGCTGAAACTGTTTTTAGAACCCGCCAATTCGGTCATTCGGTATCGTATGCGCTCAGAATACACGGAGGAAGAATTCTTCGAAACGCCAGCGGCAGACTCGCCGATCCGCACCCTGCAGGAGGGGATGTCTCTTGGACCCAGGCCGCCCACTCCTCGCCCTCGGTTTGCCCTCGGTCCAAGACATTGGAATAGTAATTTGTCAAGGTATAGTTCTTTGGTTGCAATCTAAAGGCTTGACATGACATGGTCGGGTTCATCGCCGGCATCTCTCGGACTCGCCTGGAATATATTGTTTCTGCATCATAACTCGGAAGCCCAGCAAGTCTAGCCCCTGCAGCCCATGATTTGCTTTTACATCGTCATTTGGATCATGCTTTACGAGAGGTTCGCAACAAATTTCCGGGCGATCTTCTCCACACCGCCCTACTCTCCAAGGCCATGAGACGATAACGGGGTTTGGTTGCACCTACTTCTTGCACTATGCCTTGATCATCTTTGGGGGCGCCTCAGTGCTCCACGTGGATGGTACCACAGAAGCCTCACCTTTTGATCCGTCTGTTCTGAACTATGAACAAATGCCACCGTCGGGAGACGGGCGAGGAACGGTCCCATCCTTTTCAAGTGTCCATACTCGGCACACGTGGCTCGTTAAAACCAATGGCCTTGTCTTGGTTTACTGCTGACCGTTCTGCACCGCTACTCCCGAAGACAATAGTACAATGGTACAATTAGCCTACAATAGGTAGGAAGTACTGTGAAGTGCAGAATACTTACTGGTGGTGATTTCGTGCGGGTCCCTGAGTATTGCGTCGTTAGCTCTGCAGGAACGGCTGCAATTCCTGACACAAACACAGTCTGGATATGATGCACAGAGCGTTAGAGGAGTTGACAGCAGCATCGACTGCATACAGTTCGCTTAAAGCCACTGGATGGCTGCAGAAAGCTCCCCTGATGTTAGGTATGTAAGCAGATATTGTTGGATCGGAGGGGTTGCCAGGTCTTGGATGGTCCTAATTGGCTTCTAGTTCTTGGTGTGGCCGCCAGCCTATGCAAATTCAAAGATTGGCTCAGTGGCTATGGAAGTTGAAGCCCATGCCTGGAGCTGTCTTTGTCCCCTGACTCATCCCTGTCCAAGTTTATGTTAACTACTGGCTTGCACGACGTTCTGAGGGTATCACCACTCAAACCATCATTATTGCATACGGCGATTCCCCAGGGCTCGCTCAATGTTTGATAACTACGTAGCTCAAACTCTGCTATTACTTCAAACCGCACAACCTCCGGTACCGCAACATTGGGACGGGGCTTTTTGAAACGGACCACCTCGGCATGCTCCATACTCGAGCAGTTGTTAAGCTAGAAAGGCAGGGGCTCGCAGTGCACCATCCCATCTTTGAGAAATGCCTGCGGAGACGACCGGGACAATACCAAGCTACGGAGTCGTACTCCCCGTGGAGAATACGCTTTGAGCATTGTTCCCAAGAAAGGCATGCACGACATGTGCCCAGGGCCGCTATCACCGCTAGAACAGGGCCCCCTGGTCAAGGGGCACGGCCGTGGCGTCGTTGGATCACCCATGTCTATCAATCCGACCACCCATCCAATTGTCTCACCAACAGCCTTCACTCGGTTTATGTGGGCAAACGTCACTTGGGGGGGGGGGG